TTGTTTCGATGCTTGTTTTAAATCATATAATGATTTAATCAATTTACATACCATACGTTTTTTACCTAGTACAATAGATCCTTTTAGTTGTTCTTTGTATATTTCTTCCTCTAAGTCTTCATTCAAGAACGCCGTTTTCACATCCATTTGATGAATTACTAATTTATATATTGAGGCTATAGTAATCAAAATCCTAATAGATGCTATTCTTGTAACCGAGGAATAAGTATCAAAATAATCAACATTTGTTTTATAACCTTTTGCTACTAGTTGGGCTTTGTACTTATCTATTGTGCCATGAGTTTACAAATTTTTTTTCAAAATCCATTTGCACCCAATAGATTTTGCATCAAGATGTAACTCTACTAATTTTCAAGTATGATTAGACATAATGGAGTCTAACTCGTCTTTAATTGCTTCTTTCCAAAAAGGAGCATCTTGTGACCTAATAGCTTCCTCGTATGTTTGTGGGTCATTATCAATTAGAAATGTAAAAAATCCATCTCCTAAGTTAGTCTCTTTCATTTACTCTTTTACTCCTTCTTGGTTCAAGTACTTCTCCCTTAGAAGTATCGTATTTGGGTTTATTACTAACATAAATTAATTTACTCTCATTTGATACCTTAATTTTCATAGGAAAAATATTCTCAAAGAATATAGCATTGTTTCCCCTCAATGATTATGTTAGGTTCTAAAATGTTATGCTCACTTCTAAGCACTAGAAACCTGTATGAAGTACTATTACTAGAATAGCCTATAAAAACACAATCTAAAGTTTTAGAACCTAATTTTCTCTTCTTAGGTTCCGGTAACGTGATTTTTGCTAAACACCCCCACACTTTTAAGTATTTTAAAGATGGTGGATGCCTACCCAAAGTTCATAAGGAGTTTTTCCTATTTTCTTATGTGGAATTCTATTTTGAATATGACATGCTGATAAAATAGCTTCTCCCCATAAATTATTTGCTAGTCCTGAACTTATTAACATAGAATTCATCATTTCCTTTAAAGTCATATTTTTCCTTTTGGCTACATCATTAGATTCGGGTGAGTACAGAGGAGTAATTTCATGTATAATACTAGGTTGTTCACAACAGTCATTGAAAAGATTAGATTCGTATTCTCCTCCCCTATCAGTTCTCAACCTTTTTATTTTTCTATTCAATTTATTTTTGACTTCTAGTTTATACTTGATAAACATTTTACTTGCTTAATCCTTATTTCTCAACAAGTATAATTTAGTATACCTCGAATAATCATCAATAAATATAACATAATCTTTTTCCACCTCTTGTCATGGTATTCTTAAGATCACATAAATCACTATGTATCAAGTTTAATAATTAGGTTTCTCTTTCAACTGTTCCTGAAGATTTTTTAGTGATTTTAGATTCAACACAAACTTCACATTTATCAACATTAGAATTCAAAAAATTTGAGATGAGACTTATTTCTCTCATTTTCTTGATATAAGTAAAATTCACATGACCTAATCTACCATGCCACACATCAAGGGAGTCAAGCACATAAGCAAAATAACTAGATTCATTCTCATTCATGACTTTAGCAACATTTAGTACATAAAGGCCCTATTACAATAACCTTTCCCAACAAATGTCCCATTCTTAGTCATTATGATCTTATCACTCTCAAATGTTCCTTTCACTCCCACCTTATTCAAGACAGATACTGACACCAAGTTCCAATGAATATTAGGCATGTAGAGCACTTCAGACAATGAGAGAATCTTTCCAGAAATCAACTTTAGTAACACCTTTCCCTTACCCAAAATAGACGAGGGTCTAGAATCACCCATAAGCACTTGTTTCTCTCCATCCCCCACCGGTGCATAGGAGGTAAAAACACTTCTATTACCACAGATATGCTTGCTAGCCCTAGAGTCTATCAACCAATCTTTTGTAGTAACAGCTACGTTAACCTTGGATACGACCACAACAATAATATCATTTGTCTCAACCAAATTGACATTCAACTTGGTAGGTTTGTCATTTCTCTTTCGGAGTTGGCATTTTTTAGCATAATGTCCTGTCTTTCCACAAACAAAACAATTACCTTTCTTCTTAAAACTTGTAACTCCCCAAAACACACCCTGGACAACATTACATTCTAAAGTCATTCATATCATGAGAGCACTAATATAATTCCTTAAGAAACAAGACTTCATTTGTCATCCACGAATATTCATAACATTATCCAAAAGAATAAGCCCAAGTCATGGTTATTACATCTCAAAAATTAATTAAAGAAGAGCAGCGGAATAAACAAAAGAAGTTAGACTACACAATGTTCCAAAAGAATGTCCTAGTCTAGTACAAAAGGAAAGGAGGTCGCTCTATGCGTCCGCCTCGGGATCCACACTCCCGTCCAGTGGAGTCTCCCAAGTAGAGGGCTCCTCGACCCTTGCGTCCTCCTCCTCAAGCGGGTAATCTAAAAAATGTTAGCGATAGGGGGTGAGCACGAAGCTCTGTAGAAAAATTCTTCCAAACCCATACAAGGTTTAGAAAAGCATTTAAAATGGTTGGTCTCAATTTTAACCTAACATAGATACATAATTTGAAATAAAGCAATGACATTTAAAAAAGATCTCAAGTTTATTTAAAAACATTACTTAAATGAATAAACGAGTACCACATACAAATAATAACCATTAATTGTCATAATCAATTCTCAACAATTCTTTCGGTAGGTGACATATATTGTGGTAACCTCCACCCCCCTTTAGATCACCTTTGATTCTCAAGCATCCTTACCAGAAATCTCTTGAAAATGGATGAGCATCCTTCTATGGAACCTCTCACCAATCACTACATTATTTCCCAAGCATCCTTACCGGGAATCTCTTGGGAAGGGGTGAGCATCCTTACAAGGAACCTCTCACTCATGTGCATCACAAACAACCCAACCAAGCATACAATTTCAAAATTTATCTCAATTTACAAGTTTCTATCCAAAATTCCCAAAATATATCATATAACAATTCCACAACCAACTAAAAAAATACATGAGATCACAATAACATCATTTTTCTACCCAATACAAAGAACTAAGGTTTCGAAATCCATAATAAAGAAAGCATTTAGGAAGAAAATACATCACTCTCCAAAAATTAGGGTTTTAAAACTAGAAATGAGATTTCACGAGTATTAAACCCTACTTTGTTCAAAACATGTAATTCTTGCAAAAAGTCTAAGAGATGATGATTCCATAGCATATATATATCATTGATAGCCAAAATATACATATATAAATACTCTAGCCTCAATGTAAGTGAATGAGAGAAAATCCCTACCTTGAATCCTTAGTTTTGGTGTGAAGAACAAGAATATTTGATCTTGAATCTCTTATTTTTCTTTTATTTTCTTCTTCTCTAATACTCTCTAGGGTTTCAAGAGGTGTGGGGTGTGAGCGGAGTAAAGGAAATGAGAGCAAATGAGATGAAAAATGAGTTTAAAACATAGCAGCCCCGAAAAACACTTTTCACAGGCTGTTTTGGGTTTCTCCAAATTTACGATTTTGCCACTAAAATCTCCAATTTGATCTATATGACTACCCTAAGATTTGTTGACGTTCCGGATTAATTTTTAATGTTATTTTAACCTAAAAATATTTATTTTTATGATTTATCTCAAAACTCAAGTCAACGTACACCTGAAACACTAAAGTTTCTATTTTACCCATCTGAATCGGCTATTAATGAAATTTTACGATGTTTGCAAATAAATGATGATAAAGGGTATTTCTTAAAGCCTTTTATACTTATTTGAAGCCTAAAAGTACTCATTATTCTTATTTTTTGATTTAGGATACAAATGGAGACATTAAATGTAAAACAAAGCTAATTGGACTATTTTGACATCGTTTCGTTATCTGAGCATAACTCTCTCATCCAAGCTCCGATTGAGATGATTCAAGATGCTATGGAATGATACGAAAGAGCTATAAAACTTTCATGTTTCGAGTTTTGAGAGATATTGATTGCATCAAGGTCTAAATCGAGCTTGAAGTTGCAGCAGTGCACTGTTCATAGCATGTCTTCTTCCCTTTTCCATTTCCAATCCATTCCTAAACCAACCAAATCCATCCCAAAGCTCTCCAACACATTTTTCTACACCAAACATATTTAATACAAGTTCTAGAACCTAAAATTTTATATTTTCACTTATTAAAACCAAATTTCAACTATTATTTTCACTAACATTTTAAATCTCTACTTTTCCAATCTACCAAATTCAAACACACATCACTACATATATCCACATTTTTTTTACCACAATTATTTACTATATATCTATATACATATATAAAAGAAAATGCGGGGTGTTAGAAAACTAGGATCTTGAGCCTTATGGAGATTTTTCCCGTTGTGATACTTTTTCTTATGCATATATTGAGGCTTATTCGTAGTCTCTACAACATTCGCCTTAAAGACATTTTCCTTGGTCTTTTCAATTTTAGCCTTCAAATGATTTTTCTCCTCTATCATAATATGGATAATCACATCTTCCAAAGACATATCCTTCCTTTTATGTTTATGAATGTTCTTGTAAACTTTCCAAGAATTAGGTAATTTTTCAATCAAAGCACTGACTACGAATGATTCAAGCAAAGTAATTTTTTCATTCCTCAAATGATACTCATGAATTTGAGAAGACATATCCGTCTCAACTATCTTATAGTCTAATAAATTTTCTATTGCATACTTTTTAATCCCCGCATCTTTGACAATATACTTTTTCATCAAACTATTCCAAATCTTACCTAACATGCTTATAATTATAATAAACATCAAACAATTCATTCGATAGAGTATTGAAGATAATATTCCGACAAACCTTATCAGCCTTTTCCCATTTTTCTTTTTCTCTTGCATAATTTTATGTATCGTCTTCAGGTTAAAAAAAAAAGATAAATGCTAAAAATGATCACATGAAAAATAGATATTGCATCACTTTAAACATATGATCATGACCAATTTCAGACTATTCGCGAAGTACATCAGGATCAATGTCAACATCTTTCTGAGAATAATCACTTTTGGCATACCCAACATCAACATCTTCTTTGGCCTCAAAGTCAACTTCACTATCACTCTTATTATTATAATCTGATTCAATCTTTTTACTGGATTCTTGAACCTTCTTTTTAGGAGCACCAAAAACCATCCTACCACTTGAAGTTCCTGTCATTAAACTTTCGGTCTCACTCTTATCCTCCATTTGTTTCAATGATGACTCATACTCCTGCAAAACAAGCTTCATTTCCTCATCGGCCGCCTCTTTTCTCTTTTTCAACCCCCATACCTATGCCAATACAATCATGCAGCAAAAGTTAAAATTGCAAAGATAATAACAGTTTCAAACCAAAAGGAAGTTCGGATACATAAAAGGAAATGTGCAAAGAGGATTTCCCCCTCCCTAAAGTGCACCACAGATTACTATGAAAGGTAAAGAAAGCACTCCCGATTTAGGCATTTCATCAATTTCTTCTAAAACTCCAAGTGTCTTCTCTTTTGCCTTCTCTGACAATTTTGATGCACTAGTCTCATTTGAACCATCTGAAGTTTCATCGCCATCATCTTCGTTGCTGCTGTCATCATAGCTACTATTTTCCTTCATAGAATTTATTTTTCTAGTCAAAAGAGCATGTTGACGTAGCTGTTCGGCTACATCAACACGAGTTCCTTCATCTTGGACATCCAAACCACGCTTCAATATGTGTTTCGCCCATTTGGAGTTGTTCTTGTGCTTCAACGTCAAACGTTCCTGGGTCAAACAAAATAGTATAAAAAAGGATAACACATAACACTCCATTTCATACTCAAGAAAGAACTCTACATAGAACCTTATGCTTTACATAACCCATTGTGAATTCTCACAAGTTACCTCAGCCCTTTTGAACTCTTGCTTCATTACAAGTTCTTTTGCAGCTTCTGGATCTATTTCCATTACAGTCACGACAGCTTTAAACCTGTCTTTTGTTAACAACTGATGATATGTTCTAGACTTTATCTTTTTGACACGTTTTGCCTTCATTTCATGACAAAAAAGAAGAATGTGCATTCTAGCAAGACGGTCTGGTGATCCTTCACAGCTTCAACAGATATCTACCAAGCATCATGCGAATAAGAGACAAAAAAGTTCACCAAACTATCAAACTACATTCCACTGTGTTAGTAAACTATGTCAAAATTAAGCAATAACAATGGAAATATTATAAACACAAATCAAATCCTACAACATCAATTAAATGAACCACCAATGTGTAGAAAACCCCATACCTTGTTCAGTTCAAGAAGTCTGGCACCATCTTTTAAATGGCTTTGACAACCTCGTTATCATTTACCAGGGAAGCAATTTTCTTCTCTAAATCAGTTATAGGATCAAATTCAGACGTTATTGCCCCTACAGTTGAAAATCCCAAATCAATATCTTCATCAAAATAAATGGTAGGTGCCTCTCTATTCCTCTTGATTAATGGTTCCCACTTGGAGATGTCCTTCTTTGATTGTTCATAAGTTGTCTTCCTCTCCAATCTCTATCGATCTAGTTTTGGAAGAGGTGCATGAATGGACATTGACCTTCTCTCCATTTGATGCATGATCTTCCTAAGTTTGCTGAAGCCAGACTTTCCATGAAGTGGGTCCAGAATATCTTCAATACTAATGCGGCCATCACCATCCAAACCATCACGACTAGGATTATATTCAGACTTAGGATATGCCTCTGATCTGACAACATCATTTTTCCTCCTCTTGTCTGGCATTGAGTAAAAAGGTTTGGTCAAGCCTTGTGGGCAACTAGTATACAAAAGACATGGAGGTGTGATATCTAGTCACCACCAGAACAATTCTTAAGGACTAGCTTTGAAATCAAATTTACATCTGAATAAAGTTATAAATTATCAAGACTAATCTTATTAAAACTTCAATTAAATTTATTACAACAAAAACGCTAAAGGAACACAAATGCTCAAATCAAAAAATGGCTTGGGAGCATGAAAGAAATATTGCAATTATATATGCTTGCTAGACTTTGTATATACGAAAAAGTGATTATTATCTACTTTGGTCAATTCACCGAAAAATTCATGTTGGAGAGAAAATAATACTAATGATTTACTTGTTACAAAGATTAAGATATAGTGACTATTATACTATAATGTTCCAATCCTCAATATACTTTAATATAGGACACTAGCATGTCATTGCCTTATTTGGGTCCAACTTTCTAAGACTAGCAGTGTCAATGTATCTGTGTCTTGTTTCATCTATAAACTATGTCCATGTCTATGCTTTACACGCAGCAATTAAAATAAATTGCTTATAAATAATTATGTCTCACACTCTACTATAGAGCATTTGACCTTCTTCCAAAAGCTACACCAACTTTCCATATGAATCATTGTAATAGGATATGAATACAGGACACTAGCATGTCATTGCCTTATTTGGGTCCTACTTTCTAAGACTAACAGTGTCAATGTATCCATGTCTTGTGTCGTCTGTAAATTGTGTCCATGTCTATGCTTCATACACAACAATTAAAATAAATTGCCTATAATAATATGGCAAGATGACTAAAAGGAAAGTGCCATATTTAAACTAAGTGATTAGAACACACACAAAATTCGACGTTACAGGCTCAATGTTACCTTCAAAAGCATCACTGGGCAAGTCAGTGATTTCTTACAACATCCTTGCATGCCTTCCATCATCTTCCTCTTCAAGGTCACCTCCTTTGTAGTTTTCCCTTGTACCATCAACGTCTTCATCTTCATTTTCATCGTCCTCATCATCTGATGCTACATTCTCATCCTATAAAAGGAATATAACAACATTGAACAGACAGGTGTACTTGGACTAACATATTAAGATCACAGAGTAAACATCCGTAATCAACAGTTGCAAATATTAATCAATAATGAATTCTTTATCCACTGCTAACCAAGTCAATCAATCTATTTCACTAGTTTACAAACATAATGTCAATTGACCAATCAACAAAACTCTGGCATTATCAATATTTCTCAATCAATAAACACCACAAGGTCAAGGTGTTATATTATATGTAGCTTGAAACTATGAACGGCGTGACAAAAAAATTGAATTAACAATAATTAGGCATAATCTTGCTAGGAAATAGAGAAAGACAACCAAATTTTGACATGATGGCATAAAAAAAACAAGGAGCATCACACAACAACTAGCTCAGGGTGGTAGAGAGGTTCCACTTATTGAATTTCAATTGAGCATAAGTACATAGTTGGATTCTACAGATAAAAAGAATCATAGACCTTAAATTTCTTACGAAGTTCATATTTGAAGTTATCGACATGATCATATCACCGATTCTTCCTCGAGAGTCGCTTCTTGGTATTCATAGACATTGTTGACATCATTAGAATCAATGTCTTCGTCACTGTTCAAATAGTCATGCTCAGAACAATATATGATACCTAGCTCCTGCCTTGATCCGAAATGTGTACACCTAAGTGTAGGCGGTCAAGTTGTAGTAATAATTCGGTTAAGTCCGGAGTCGAATCCACAAGGAACTATGATTGGTGTTTTGAAGTAAGCAGTAATAGAGACCAAGTAACTAGAAACTTTGAGAGTTTGAAGTTGTGGGATTTCTTGAATAGAATAGAAGATTCTTTTCAAGAGTTTTTTGGACAAAATATAAGATATATTCAAATGTAAAATAGTCACCCTTTAGGTTGAGGATCAGAACATGTAGTTAATTATCCGATTTATTATACTTATATTTTATAACTCAAATAACTCTCATGTCAACAGTAATTTAATCTGAAGATAAAGATGGACTGTGAGAATTAAGCATATGATTCTGATGCCTTTCTAGAAGTGGACAAGAATTGTCTATGCCAAGATTTAACCCGTCTATAAACAAGCAAGTGCTTCTACAAGGCATCCAACCATGGCATTAATGTTCTATTCTTTAGATAAAGCACGATAATAGTGAATATTGAAATGTGTCATGAAGATCTAGCCTAGGTACTTGCATTGAACCAACAGGTTTTTCCATGAGTCATCCATGACATAGATGAACTCATAGTTATACAAAGTACCTTAGCTTTGCTAAATGCATTCAATCCTTCAATAAGTGAAATATAAAATATTAAAGCATAAATGAAATGCACAAATATAGCTTCCGGATAATCAATACATGTTCATCACCTCTTACTAAAGAGTGAATGAGAAATTACTCATTCTTCATAACTTGAGTAAAACTAGAAAAGTGAGTGATACTCATCCCTCCAAGTAAAGAATTTACAAGGTAAAGTACAATAAACAAAGAGCCAATCTTCACCAAAGAATAAGTGAATCACGTTCCACCCTTCACAGCTTTGGTAAAGCTCTAGAAAAAGTGGAAAAGTTTCACTCCTCTAAAGAAGAAGGAAGCTCAAGCAATGGAAGTGAAAGACATAAACAATGAAAGTAGGAGAAAGCTAGTCACTATTTAGAGGGTGGCTTCCTCAACCAACAAATGGAGGGTTGCTTCCTCAACCAACAAGTGGAGGGTTGCTTCCTCAACCAAAAGATGGAGGGTTGCTTCCTCAACCAAGAAATGAACTAACTCTCTTGATACAAGTAAATATAGCATGTATCTAAGATTAATCAAAATGAGTGGGAGTCTAAGCCTCCACACAAACTTCTTACTAATTCTTGGTGTAGTCTAAGCCTTACTAACCAAGCTCTCACTCCATACTTTACAAGAGAAGAATCCCCCTTCAAACTCCCCTAATGGGAATATTTATAGGCAAGGAAGGGGAGGGGGGAAGATAAGAAAGGATGAATGAATAGTGTATGTCACCCAAGTCTAAGTGAAAACCAACTACTCTGCAGGCAGTCTATGGAGGACGTTCAAACGTGAGTTGACGTTCGAACGTTGTTTTTGTTTTGGCTTTATGGACGTTTGAACGTTGTCTGACGTTCGAACGTGGCTTCTGTCTTTGCTTTAGGGGCATTCGAACGCCAGATGGGGTTTGACCATATCACTTAAGTGGTTTGTGGTCTTCTGTGGAACTCCATTTCCACACTCCATGTACATATTGGCTCTTTGCACTCATCACTCCGGCCTTCAATCAAATCAAGTGGACGTTCAAACGTGAGTTGGCATTCAAATGTAGTGCTCAAGTACTTTCAGGGTCTTCCTTCTTGATTGCAACACGCCATGTCTCAACAATCTGGTCTTCTAAGAGTTCAAGTGGATGTTCGAACGTGAGTTGGCGTTCGAACGTGGTTGCTTTGTTCCAACCTTCTCCAATTTTGTTCCCTAATGCACTGAGGTTACACTCAAGTGTGATATTTGTTGTTCTTGAGCCTTTGTTCACTTTAGGACCTGAAATGTCATTACTTAAACTCCATCAAAGTACAATTAGTCCCAAAAAGGCATAGTAAAATGCTAATTTTTAGCACTAATCACACCCCTACCTAAATATTGCTAATCTCTAGTAATACAATAACAAAGGAATGTAAATCTATTTTTAATTCCTTTTTTATAGGTCATCCGGTTGCATTTAGCATATGCAACAAGCCGTTGAACCACTAGGTTTACCCTACTGGACGAATGTTGTCTCGTGAGAGTTTTCAGTGAAGTTACCCACAAACTTCAGTCAAACAAATGTGTATGTAAGATTGCTGGTTGAAGTAAATTAGCATCATAGTCGTTGAGACACTCAACCCTTAATCTTTGACTTACATCCCGCATGCTCCTCTTTTAAAGGTATTTATTCTATGCAAAAATTAGCATCAGTTACATTGGCATTTGGAATTCCTTGTGTAATAGGAATGGTCAGTCTAAAAATAAGAATTGATATATAACAAACATTCCACTTTATCACTTTCCATGGATAGCTTTGATTTAACAAACCTTTCTAAGAATACTCTCAACAAGAATTTGCTCCGATTATGGTGACTTATCTATCAAAGGGCATGTGATCAGAAGATGGTCATTTGAAAAATCTCATGCACAATTAGAAAAGGAGCAAAGTTTAAGGGAACAAACTAATCATGTTTTGGCATAATCTCATGGAGGAATATTGATGTAAATAAAGAAATATTATTTAACATACTCTACTTGTAGTTGACGACCTACACATGCATCAGTCTTGAGATCAATTAGGGCTTTTTGTAGGTTGTAATGTGGCCAGAGGTCAGTAGCTAACGAAATGATGTCAATGGTGTTCAAAAGCTATCTCTTTTTTATGCAATGTAGCACACATCTTTCTAACTTCTCGCCATTTTGCCTGGGAATGGTATTTCTTTCTTTCATTTTTCTCACTTTTCACTTTCTTGGCAAGTCTCTGTCTGTCTATCTCTTTTCTTTTTTGATTGTTTCCACCGATTTTTCTTTTATTGAACAACAGCCACCATTTTCTAATTTTCTTGTCTTTTTGTATCATATTGATTTGTAAGAGGGTGCAAGAAAATTAGATAGCAAGGTATGTTAAATATATCCTCTTGTGGCTTGGTTATTATATGGGTATTTCGAAAAGAAATCATATATCGAAGGCTCAAGCATGGCTGACTAGGGATATACTTTTGCAAAAGAAGTGACCTAGGCTCAAAGTCAAATCAAAGATGACCTAATATCCTTTCTCAAGTATGTGCACATGTAGGTGTCGTATACAAAGGTTCCCCGTTGGACATATCAATAGATCGCTTTAGTTGCATTAATCAAATCAAATTTAATGAGATTATTCGAAAATAGATAGTGAAAAACCTTTCTTGAGTAAATGTTAATATCCTCTCAAAAGCATAGCAAGACTCAAAACTCACCATGGTATTCTTTATCATCTCCACTGGTTATGTCGAGTGTTTCAGGGAATGTCAGTTATATATCGATTCCATTTTCGAGTCTGATCATCTTGTACCTTAAGAACAAAAAATACCAATGTACATTTGACAATTTAAGCATAGAGATAATACCAGTTTTTCAAGAATTGTAGTTTTAAGTCTCGGTTGTTTAGTTGAGGTGTCAGACCGATCATGTGCTTTGTTACTTTAACAAACAGTCTTAGCATCTACATCTGTTTCATCATTCATTAACAAATAGCAATATATTAAGTTAATTTACACATAAATTTAAACAGATAAAAGTGATAAACTGAATCATTCATTTCTCAATATGTGATCGTTTAATACAAATATCAAAGGTTTCATTCATCAACAAAAGAAGTGATCAAATATAAACTTCAAATATCCATAATCAACTACAAAACAAACATCCACCACAGAAGAAATAACTATCCATAACAACTACAAATATCCTCAAGAACACCCAAAGAAGAAATTCATCAACCAAAGAAGAAACAATCAAACACTCCACCACCAAGAACAGAAATAACCCTCTCAATCTCCACCGTCCCTACCAACTCCACTGGCTCCACTGACTCCACCAACGCCACCCCTCATAAGACTAAGGATCTCATCCTGCTTAGCTCAATGCTAAGCATGATGTCCCGTAAAGAACGTCGGGTGCTCATGTTGGGCCCTGCCTCTTGGGGCTGCTCTTGTTCTCTCTCTGCCTTCATCTCTCTCTCCTCCTCTCGGTCAAGCTCGTCTTGTATTTCATCGACTCCTTGGGGATAATTTGAGTTGTTCTAAAGTATGTCCCCAATAGGATAAGAGTTGCTTGTTAGGTGTGGGAAATAGTTAAATCTGAAGTCTCTGAGTTATCAAATGACAAACTCAACCACTGAACTACTCCTAACAATTTTAAGATAGTTTTTTGTTTAGACTTCGTTTTGGCAGCAAACTTGTGAAAAAAGGCCCAATAAATCTGATTAGTTGAACCAATGGCTTATTGATCCGATTGAGTAAAATTAAAAATTAAAAATTTACTTTTAAGAATTGTCTTTACTTTTTAGCAAGACGAAGTTTTCAACCAAATGGATTATTACTATTGTCCTCTCAAAATTCTTCTCTTAATTTAAGTAGCAGTCTTTAAACGACTTCCTTTTAAGGGCCTACAAGTCAGTGGACCATTGCAAATTGTGAAGACCCGCCAAAAATTGTGCTGCACACAACGGCATGAGACTCCCTTCCACTGGAAGCCTTATTTTGCACCCTCCTATTCCTTATTAAAACCCCTCCCTCTCTCTCTTCCACAGAAACCCAAACACAGCCCCATTTCTCTCTCCTCTGCCGGTAAATATATGGCCAGCAAGCTTAAAGTGGATGAACTCCGAACACAACTCGCCCAACGTGGACTCAGCACCACCGGGACCAAACCCACACTGGTCTATCCCTCTCTATGTCTGTTCTTTTTCGAGTTTCTTTTCGGGTATACTGTCTCTGTTGACTGTAAGTGAGTTCTTGCAGGTTCAAAGACTCGAATCAGCTATTATAGATGGAAAACAATCGATTGATTCAATTGATGGTTCGAGTAATAAGAAAAGGCAAAGGGATTCTGAGAATGGGGATTCTAATGGGTCAGAGAAGATTAAGGCCATTGACAAGTTTCGACACATGGGTATCAAAGAATTACGAGAACAAGCCAAGATGAGAGGAATTTCAACAACTGGGTCCAAGAAAGAACTTCTTGAGAGACTCTGTACTGATTCAGAGGAGAACTCCAACGGCATTCTTGGAGGTATCAACATTCAGTTTATACAAGATAGAAGAATGAGTTCATTCAAGATTTTCTTGACATATGTGTCTGTGTGTATGTATTCGTGAAGTTGTGTATTACATTGTGGTGGGTGGCAGGCAGGGAAGAAGAAGCAGATGCAAAGGAAATCAAAGAGGAGAAACTGGTCACTGCCACCAAGAAAGGTGGGGCCGTATTGGATAATTGCCTTCCGGATGACATTAAGGCCCATTACCATGTCCTGCAACTGGTAAAGATTTTGATCAATGTTGGACGCATTTGATTGATATTTGTTGATTGCTATTTGCTTCTTCAGATATATGCTGTCTATTCTGATTATTTTTGTTTTCTAACTTTCTTTACAAATCTTTATAGCAAGATGAGATTTATGATGCCATGTTGAACCAAACCAACGTTGGGGAGAACAATAACAAGTTCTACGTCATTCAAGTTCTAGGTTACTTCTAAATTCTAATTCTTTTAATACTTGTATCTCAGTTTTCTGTTTGATTCGGGAACCTGTACATGGGCTGAGCAGAATGAATTAGTTGAGATATTGTTCATTTGGTTTATTATAGGACCGTCACACCATTATGGCAATCTTGCAGAGTTTTTATGTTTGTTTGGAGTTAATAGATATCACTCTATTTGCCTGGCATGCAAAAACTAAATTATATTTGAGTCATGACATGTGTATTCATACTTTTGACATCTTGGTATGTATTCTTACATTTACTAACTGCAGAATCTGATGATGGTGGAAGATTCATGGTTTACAGTAGATGGGGCAGAGTTGGTGTAAAGGGCCAAAATAAGTTACAAGGCCCCTACACATCACAACATGATGCCCTTATGGAGTTTGAACAGAAGTTCTATGCTAAGACCAGGAACAATTGGTCAAATCGTAAAGAGTTCATTTGTTATCCAAAGAGCTACACTTGGTTGGAAATGGACTATGATGAAACGGGAAAAGAAACATCCGTGAGTTGTCTTAATGCTAAAAATATTTGCTGGTGCAATAGTTGAACAAATAGAACCTACGAGTTACTTGCATATCTCTAACTTCCTCTTTTGTACTTGATAAAAATCTTCCACTCCACCCTGTTCTCATTTAACTAGCAATATTGGTCCCTAATTCCCTTGATGAAGAAGGGTGTCCAACTTACCAAAAGTTTGAAACCATGGTTACTGTTGTTCTTCTGACTGAAGTTTGAAACTATGATTGCTTTTGTTGTTGTTTCGAAAAACTGTGATACTTTTTTTTGAACTTTAAACAACATCTTATCCACTGCTTCTGAGGCATAATAATCATTAACAGATTCAAGGAAACTCTAAATCACTAATGGCAATTCAACCTAAGGAGACAAAGCTGGAGGCCAGCATTGCAAAGTTCATCTCTCTTATTTGCAATGTCAGCATGATGAAGCAACAAATGATGGAAATAGGTTTGTTTTTTTTTCTTGTTCTTCATTGTGTTAACTTTTAAATGGTATTTTGATACATATACACGAATTGAAGAAACAAACATGTTATAGTGGTTTCTTCCTTCTTCTTTTTTCAAGGGGATTCAAACCTAGGTTGGCCGTAGGTGCCACTTAAGTAGAACCTCTATATTGAATTGTGATCTTTAAAAAAGTTGAGTATTTCATAAATTTATCACCCTGGTGATGGGTGGCCACTCAAAACTCAAAAGCAAGTATTATTTGCATGATAATATTATTGCATGTTGTTTTCTATTTTGTTTCCTCTTAATTTTATGTGGTTCAAGTATGTGTATTACATCAATTTGATCCTCATTCTTTATATTTTGTCACTTTAATCTCTTTAGTTTCAATTTGTGTTACTTTGGTCTAACCAAAAATGGCTGTTTAAATTGACTAATGGAAGTGGCCACACTTGTCTCATGTGATCACACTTGATGGACGGCGTTAGTCACTCAAAATTTCAATTTGTGTCATTTTGGTCTTTAGTTGTTCACTCTTGTCACATTAGTCCTTCAAGTTTCCAAAGGAATGCCCCTTATTGTGGTCACATGAGATGCATGTGACGATTTCTATTCGTCAATTTACCCAGTTGGTTTTTATTGGATTAAAGTGACACAAATTAGAAGTTTTAGGGACTAAAGTGACAATATTCACCGATTGGAGTCCAAAGTGATTGAAAGTTTAGACATGGGGAATTAATATGATAATTTACCCTAATTTTATTACTATATGTGAATTATCTTTTTATTTTCTTTACTATATGTTCTCAATTATGTAATTGTTAACCGTTTTGACTGTTCTGTACTAGGGTACAATGCTGAAAAGTTGCCACTTGGTAAGCTGAGCAAGTCGACAATTTTAAAGGTAAGTATTTGAGTTACACACTTATCCTTCCTTCCCTTTGGATCAGTTCAGAACTATCCTCTTAAGTAGCACATCTATTTAGGGGATGTCTACTACCACTCTTCTTTTTCTCTGACTTCACTGATGTGATTGCTCCTAATCCATACCTTTCCATTTGGATTTTAGAAGATTAAGCTTGTCTTCGATGTCGATTTGGTTTTTATTCCTGGTTTACAATCTCCCTGCATTCGGGGTGCAAGCAACCAGTTCTGTTCTAATCTTAACAAGATAGGAAACTGATTAATCCTTTGACATAAACCCTCAGTGGTGACTGGAGAGGATTCATTACCACATTCTTGTGAACCAAGCTGCAGCATCCCATGTTTTTCCTTTTCTTTTTCAGTTGAGGTTTGAGGGGAGGAGGTTGTAAGTAATTAAGTATTATCCTTAATCCCCAGAACCTGCAACAGTTTCATCATTTTCTTTTTATTCCTTTTCCTGCTGTTGGTTTTTTCACTTATTGAACATGGAAGGGGACAGGCTAAGTTATGGTAATATTACAATTCTATATTTATCCATTCCTACAATTTACATTACTTCCCTGAGTCGGGTTGTTTCCATAAAGATATATGCATGGATTTAGTTCTGTTATTTTGCTTTTATTTTAGTCTTTCGTTTGTCATGGTATGTTGAAACTCGCCAAGCAAAAGAAGTTAATGTTTTTAATTTCTAAAATATCCATCTAACGATCTATATTATTGGTTCAATTGAATTTATACAGGGCTATGATGTCTTGAAAAGGATTGCTGATGTGATTGCTCAGCCGGATAGGAAAAAACTTGAGCAATTAAGTGGGTAAGAATTCCATTACAATATTCTTTGTGATGATTGGCTTAATTTTCTTCACATGTCTAACAAAGGGCCTTGATATATAACAAATATAATATGTTTGTAGCCTCTTTTTCATGCTTATAATTAAATTCAAATTTATTTTCTAAGAATCAATTTGTTGGTATCGTATGATCGTAATCTGACAATATTCATGTATCTTCACATTGCAGAGAATTCTACACTGTTATTCCTCATGACTTTGGTTTTAACAAAATGCGTAAGCTCTCTCTCTCTCTCTCTTGCATGCTTGTATGTGTTTTTGATTCTCTTGGCCGAGCATTTGCAGAGATGTCGCAGGATACAGTGATTGTTAAAATGCTTATGATTAACTTGACAATGTCTATGATCACAGGTGAGTTTGTGATTGACACCCCACAAAAGTTGAAATGCAAACTGGAAATGGTAAGTCTCGTTGTTGCTTCGCAGAATATACTATAGGATAGCCCATGCATTGGGATTTGTCTGTGTGTATGTTGTTCTTTTTTAGTGGTTTTTATCTTTTGCGGCTGAGGGGGGAGGGGGTGGTGTTCTTGGTGGTTGCTTGACTGATGGTTTTTTTATGATCAGCTGGGTAGCTTGATCTTCATGGTAAATGATGTGATGTATTATTCTTATAATTTAACATCCCACAATAATCTTGTAGTGATATTTTATTTGTACATGGCATTTTTAAATATTATTACTGACAATAATTTACTCTTTTACTATTAAAGGTTGAAGCCCTGGGTGAAATTGAGGTTGCAACAAAGTTGTTGGAGGACGCTGTTGGTATGCAGGTATTGTTTTCCTCGTTTTATTTCGCTCAAATTTATTTCACATGACAAGTTTTGGGTGTTTTTATCCTTTATAGATCATGTGTTTCAGCCATGTTAGGTCAAATCTGTTTGGCCGAGGTGTGCTAGGCATTCTTTCATTCAACTTAGGCTTTTGTAGCTTTCAGTGTAGCTTTTATCTGTAGACGTAAATGTCTTTTGCGTTGTGTTTGGGTTTGCATTGGCTCTTATGTCATAAGGTGCTGGCTTCTCTTTTGTATGATTTGTAACTCAGTTTTCCTAATATAAATTGCTGCAACTGTCATAGGAGGATCCCTTGTATTCTCATTATCAACGCCTTCACTGTGAATTGATTCCGCTTGATGCTGATTCTGAGGAATTTTTTACGGTACTGGTTTTTTTTCTACCTCCTTACATAATCCTTGATGTCATAAAACAAAGACCTACTTAGGATGTATTGCCCTTCTTTCTTCCTGGTTTCACATGTTCCACAAAATGTTGTGACTAAGAGAAGTTGTCATTGGCTTGTTTTTCTCCATGTAATTATCTTACTACAAATGCTGATATTTGATATAGTTACTATTCTCTCTTCCATACTCAGCTTGCTAGGTATATGAAGAACACTCATGCAAAGACACATTCAAGTTATACAGTGGATATAGCTCAAATATTTAGGGTGTCGAGAGAGGGTGAAGATGAACGTTTCAAGAAGGTGAACATTCATAATGCATAAAAGATGTTCTTTCGTTAATCGTGCTTTTTTTTTTTTTTTGAGTGCCACACTATATAAGCCTGATATAGACTATTCTGAGCAGTTCTTGAATACCAAAAATAGGATGCTTTTGTGGCATGGTTCTCGACTCACAAACTGGACTGGAATACTCTCCCAAGGTTATTTCTTTCTTCATGTAGTATTTTATATGTTAATATTGACACAAATTATCTGACTGCAAGTTTTGGCATTATAAACCACTAGGTTTGCGCATTGCTCCTCCAGAAGCACCTGTAACAGGTTACATGTTTGGAAAGGGTGTTTATTTTGCTGATATGTTCTCCAAAAGTGCAAATTATTGCTACTCAACTCCTACTGCTTCAGCTGGTGTGCTGCTTTTATGTGAGGTGGTCTTTTATCAAGTATTAATTCATCTTTGCCCATACAGAAAAAGCTGGTTTTATGAGCAATACAGTTAGAACACTAAACATTAAATGCATTTTGTGCTTACATATTTTGGAAGGTTCATTTTGCACTTGAACATTTTGTGTTGGTTTGTAAATTTCCTAGCAGTGGTATGATTAATCTAAGGCTCTAAATTGTCATTGAACTAAATTTCTTTCTTTGTAAACTGCATGTTGTACTGCTGAACCATTTAATTTTTAGGTTGCGCTGGGTGACATGGCCGAGTTGGTGACTGCAGACTATAGCGCTGACAAGTTGCCAGAAGGGAAGCTAAGGTTCATTCTTTTTCACGCTCATTTGTACTTACATTTTGCTTTATTTTTTTTCTCTCTTTACTACAGTGACGTGTGAAATTGGAAATAAGCACATTCGACTTAGAACTTAAAATCAAAGATTAGGTATTGATTGCTTTGGAGTTGATATGTTCTGAAACCTGACATTGCAGCACTAAAGGAGTTGGTTCAACAGCCCCAGATTTTTTGGAGGTTCAAACACTTGAAGATGGTGTTGTTGTTCCCCTAGGAAAGCCAAAAAAGCAACGGTGCCCCAAGGTGCGAATCATGTAACTTGAGATTGGACTCTGTAATCCGACCATATGTCTTCAACTTATAAGCCAATTTCTCATAGACTAATTGAAAGAGTATGTGGTTTATGGTTTGTATGAGATTAAGATCGCTAAACATGACCTTTATAACGTTCTTGCAGGGTTCTTTACTGTACAACGAGTACATAGTTTACAACGTGGATCAGATTAGGATGCGCTACATCATTCAAGTTAATTTTAATTTCAAGAGATAACCACCACGAAGATGTAATTTTTCATTTTTTTTATTTATGTTGCTGGTTTATGGTCCCTGTTTTGTAGTTGGGAAGCTGAGTAATTACTACACAAACCATGTAAATAGTACTATCCAGAAAATGTAAGTTATTGGCAAACAGTTCCAGTCTGCATGAATATATGTTGCATTTGGGTTTCAGATTTTGATGTTTGTATCTTTTAGCCTTGATGGGTGATTCACAGAGCACAATATTATCTTGTCAAGCATGACGATAAGTTTTGGATAGTTTTGGAATTGCTCAGCCATTGTACTTGCTGTAATTCCCACAAACTTTCTTAATGTGGAAATGAGTCATTTCGAATGGCTGTTTGTCCGGGACTCGGCTCAGATAAAAAATATGTTTGAATAATTGATCAGATTCAGCTCGAATCATTTAACAACTCTAGTCCTTTGCAAGTTCCCACAGCTGTGCCATGAACATGAACTTGATGCTGGAATCTGTCCCCAGTTTATATGTTACCAACGGCTCTTGGAACTGCAAGACTGAAAAGTGAAGAGTAGGACTTCAACCCCTACATTGGACCCCTGCCTTCCAGGCAATCAATCCTCTAAACATTGCTTGAGACACACCCCTCACTCACTACATAAGTACATATCTTCCTTATGTCCAATTTACTCCGCAAATTTAACTATCACCTGTTTTACAATTTATTTTTAGTTTTTAAATACCTTTTTCGTTCGTCATAAATTGAAACACGTGAGTTGTAAATGCTTCTGTAATAAAACAATGTTACATTGATCGCAGACGAAGATCTGGTGATGGACACATTTCATCCTCATGTCCAAAGTACTTATAACTCATATACTTTAATTTATAACAGAAAATTGAACGGTAGTCACATTGCTACCAATTCATAATATTGAGGGAATAAATTAAAAATTTTAATATTTAAAGGTATAAATTAAAAATTAAAGTATCTTTCTAGATCCAAAGTAAGATTAGTCCAAAAAAAATTAATAAAACATATCTCTAGGAACTAATTTTGATGAAACAAGTAGACCTTAAAAACAAAGCCCAATTATATTGGGTTGGTTTCTGGAAGTAACCCCAATAAATTTCAAAACCCTATAATTCGAATATTTATTGCTTTGTCCTTGAATTCACAGCGAAGATTAAAGTTAGAGAGTGATCAAAAATTGTCAATTGATTTCTTCTCAAACCCTAAGGAGGGTGAGTCACACTATCTATATAATAAAATAGCTTACAATTCAAATCTCAAAAGATAAATAAAATGACTTTTGCTATTCGCGGTTGAAATCGCTTTAAATTTTATTTTAAAGTTAATCTAACAGTTAATATTAACACCCTAAATTTAATAGAAAAAATAGGTTCCTACAGATGTGTTTGGAATGACTTTTTAAAAGGTACTTTTAAAAATTATTTCTCATAAATACTTAAAAAAAAATAGTATTTTAAACCGCCTCACCACTACCTCTACCACCACCACAACCGTCGCCGCCGCCACCACCACCACCGCTGACGCCACCATGGCCACCGTTGTCACTACTGCCACAATCACTGCCGCCACCACCATGGTCATTACCACCCACCACAAACCATCACCGTCTCTTACCACCACTACTACCGCTCACCATCTCTCACCTCCCACTATAAATCGATGCTTAAATTTATTTATCTCTTATCTATGTTTGTGATTTGATTTTGAATATCAATACAAATATATTTATTGTATACTATTTTTTTATTATCCTGTGTCTTCAGGCACAGGCAAAACTAGTCTATCTATAATATATAACAGGATGACTTTAACAAACTTATCATATAGTATCAAAATCATTCTTCTAATCGAAAAATTTTAGGATTAATTGCAAATTGCACCTTGAAAGATTGTTCGAATTTTAATTTGTACCCTCAAAGATCAAAAATCTCAATTTATACCCTAAAAGATAGAATTTGTATCAATGTGCACCCCCAAAGATCAAAAATTTCAATTTACACCCTCAAAAATAAAAATTTGTATCAATGTGCACCTAAAACTAAATTGATAAATTATACCTAGATCCCCTTATGCTTGTCGCTTAATCATTTGGTCCCTTCACATTTTAAATATTACTCCTACATCTCATGATGTTTGTGCACGTGTAACACGTAACCCTTTTTTGTTGATATCCGTTAATAAAACAGTTAAAAAATATGATTTTACCTTAATAAAAAATTATAATTTTATATTACCCTTTATTTTATGGGTCTAATATACTCTAAAGTTCAAAATCAAGTTTACCATTTGAATGTCTAATAGAATAAAGGGTTGCACATTGAGTAATATATTACATTGGATATAAAAAATATTATATAAATATCTATATTCTATTAGACATTCAAATGGTAAGTTTGATTTTAAACTTTAGAGTATATCGGACCCACAAAAAAAAAGGGTAATATAAAATTAGAATTTTTTATTAGGATAAAATCATATTTTTTAACAGTTATATTAACATATATTAACAAAAAATGATTACGTGTTACACGTGCACAAACGTCATGAGATGTAGGAGTAATATTCTAAATGTGAAGAGATCCAAATGATTAAGTAACAAGTATGAGAGGATCTAGATATAATTTATTAATTTAGTTTTAGGTGCACATTGATACAAATTTTTATTTTTGAGGCTGTAAATTGAGATTTTTTATTTTTTGAGGTGTACATTGATGCAAATTTTTATCTTTTAGGGTATAAATTAATATTTTTTATCTTTGGGAGTGTACATTGATATAAATTTTTATTTTTGAAGGTATAAATTAAAATTTTTAATATTTGAAGGTCTAAATTAAAATTTAAACTATCTTTCGAGATACATCATACTATTAATCCAAAATTTTAATATTTTATCTCTTATTATTTTCCCTCAATTCCATTCCATCCAATTTTCTCTCCCACCCACACTCAATGTTACCCACACTCGATGTTAAGAGACTGATGCCTCATAGCCTCCCCTCCCTCTCCCTCTCCCTCTCCCTCTCTCTGTTAAGCCATCTCCACCGACTCCACCATCGTCCCAGAGACACCGCCTCCCAGTTATCTCTCTCTCCCTCCCTCTCCTAGCGCAATCTAATTGACCTAACCAGATCGCAAAACCCAGAGTTGCAGCGGGTGCTCATCTTTATACTGATCCCTCTTCTCTGTTCGTTGCTACACTCCGCGGCTCAAACACCAATTAGGTATTGTGATTTTTCTTCGCTAATTTGTTCTCTATTTCAAATATTATTCATTTTCTCTACCTTTCTCAATTCAGATCTATCTTTCCAGTCTATCAATTCAGATTCTATCTTTCCAGTCTATCAATTCAGATATATATATATATATATATATATATATATATATATATATATATATATATATATATATATATATATATATATATATATATAGTTTATTTGTATGAATGTTTCATTTTTTTCTATAATTATGGGGCTGTTTTATGTGAATTTGCGACGATTTCTAGGTCACACATAACTGTTGGTGTGCTCTCTTCATCTGATATGTTAAGAAATCTTATTATTGTATTTATTCTTTGTCTTCTTTTTTTTTTTAAATGAAATCTAATGTGCCATTGTTTGTATTTGTTGCATAGGTTTTTGTAAATGTTTGTTGTAAGAACTTCAGTAGATGTTTAGTGTTTCAATTTATTACTCTGACCAAAGCAAGCTCCTATGCAACTATCCAATCTTATCCGGCAAGTAGTGACCAGCTTTGACATGCGCTTTCAATAATACAGTATAAGTGATGTCATTTGGAGAGACTCCTGAATTGGACATCTTATACAGAAGTTTCTCTGCTTCCTCCACTCTACCATTCTGGCAGAGGCCATTGATTGCAACAGTGTATGTATATACATTTGGTAGACAATTCGCCTGCTTCATAAGATCTAAAACTTTCAAGGAGTGGGTAGTATCACCTGCTCGGCAAAGCTCATCAATCAATATGGTATAAGTTACCACAGAAGGAATTAGGCCGTACTTTAGCATCTTTCCAAACATTGTATTTTGTTCATTCACCTTAATTACTTTGCTGAGAGCATCAAGACATGAGTTGAATGCATGAGGTGTAGTCAAACACCTGTTCTTGACCATTCTCTCAAAAACCATCAAGGGATTTGCACTTTTACCAGTCTTGCAATATCCATCAATAAGAGCTGTAAATGTTACTTCATCTGAGAATATTCCCTTCTTCACCATCAAACCCAAGATCCCTTCTGCTTCCTCTGGTCTCCCTTCTTTACAGAGTCCGTCAATTAATGTAGTGTAAGTAAAACCATCAGGCACAAGGCCAATGGAGTTCATTGAATTAAATACTCTGAAAGCCATAGCAAGTTGGCTTGCCCTGCCATACCCATCAACCAGAATATTGTAGGTTACTTCATCAGGTCATAGCCCATTGTCAACTATCCGTCTCAAAAGTTCCATTGCTTTGTGAGGTTTATTGGCTTTACATAACCTTTCTATGAGCTCATTGAAGGTATGGATATTGGGCTTGCAATTCCTCCTTTCCATCACGCCAAGAAGCTCAAAAGCAGAAACTACTTTACCTTCTTTGCAGTAACCATTAATCAGTGCATTATAAGTTGTTGTGCCAAGAACCAATCCATCATCTAACATTTTTCTGAACATTCCATTAGCCTCCCTCCCCAATCCTACCTTCTCTACATAGCCTATCTATCAATTTGTATAAGTGTGAATATTTGGTTTATATCCCTTCTTGTTGGTTTACATCCCTTCTTGACCATCTCATCAAGCAAACCAAAAGCCTTATCAGTGGATCCTACATCACAAATAGCTTTAGTCAGGACAGTGTAGGTATGAGTACTTGGGTGGCAACCCTTTTCATTCATCTCTTCCTTTGGCACCACAACCATCCTCATTGAGATCACCTACCCTGCAATTACCCAGCACTAAAGAGGTACATATATGAGTATCCAACAAAAGCCCAAGTTTCAAAACTCTTGAAAAGAACATTTCAGCAGTTTGTACAAACCCATTCTTGCATAAAACATTTATTACAGTCTGTTAATCAATAACACCAAGAGCAAACCCATCATCTGCCATTCTCCTATAAACTGAATCTTGTGCAGATCGTCAAGTGCATCCATCTACTTCAAAACATGATGTTCATGCATACAACACTCCTTAATTACTACAACTACGGCTTTATGTACAATCCCAAATAAATTATGAGATAACGTTAGACTCAATAGATGAATTCTACTATCTAATTTGTAGCAGTATGTTGATTGCTTGCTTACCCATTAGAAAATTTATGTTTTATGAAATTGATGTTGTCTATTTAGGAATTTATTGGGAGTTGCATTGTTAGTTAAATGAAATTGGAGTTCAAGGTATGTGAAATTGTGTTCGTTTTTCATTCTAAGCCTTCTATACCTATCTCCACCACCACATGTAATTGTACATTAAAATTTGATTTGAATTTTTTTCTTTTTTTTGAGATGCTTAAGTTCTATGATGATCTTAGAATGATGGTGGTGACATGTTAATGGTTTTGTGCAAGGGTGGTGGTGATAGGTTGGTTTTGTGCAGGGGTGATTTTTGGGTATAAAGGTTGGGTGAATTGATGCTTATATTGAATTTTTAATGAACTTGTTAAAAAAATTGAAGCATTGGTGATATGTGGCATGTTATTGGTTTGTGAACTTAGTCGATAAGTATGTGTACAATGTGAATTTGAATATATGTGATTTAGATTTCTGGCTTTTAATTTATTCATTTCGATACCATGAAGAACTTGAGAACAAGATACTTGGGAATTTGCATTCACTGTTTTATTCTTCTCTCATCCTGTACATATGCGTGTACTATTTTTTTTGGTTATTTTTTGCTTTGAATATCTAAAAGTTTTAATTAATTTCATTCGTTAAGTGTGATTGTGGTTATGCTCTACTCATTTGATGGGTGGTATTTGCAAATGGTAATATTATTGCACCATTGCTCAATTTGATTAGTTCACCATTCAATTGAATGAATTCACAAGTCTTTGTTTACATTCATTACTTTTGAATCCTTCTAGGTTATTCACATCTGTTAGGTCATTCAATTGGGTTAATTTTTTTAAATTTGGTTATATGCGTGAATCTTACCCTTTTGTAATTGTATGTTTTTCAACATGCTCGTCTGACGGTCTCAAATAAACTCATCCAACGGACACTAAGATCTCTCTCAAAACTAGGAAGGAACTTGAATTTTATCCTATATATATTTTTCTCCAAAATTCCATCACATCCAATCTATTTTCTCACCATCACTCATTGTCAGAGATTGCTTCTTTGCATCCCCTTCAAGCCCTCTCTTCTTTATTTCTCTCTCTCTCTCTCTCTCTCTGTTACGCAGTTACACTATCTCAAGTGAAACTGTTGCCGATTAATTTTCAATCGATTCATGAGCTAATTGGCGGGCCAATTGTAGGTTGTGATTTGGGGAGAACATTTTGATGATAAATAGATTTCGGCCTACGAGGTATATGTAGAATTCTAATGCTTGCATTATGGGGTTTTGTATTAGCTTCTTTAATGTTGTACTAATTGGAATGAGACTATTGCGTTATTTTGTAAAAATTGATTTGGGTGGAAAATTGATCGTTTAATCTAAATAAACCAAGAAGCAGTTCAACCCAATTGTTATTTGTGGGTGTTATAATTTTTCTACGTACAAAGAATCAGAGAATTATAGCCATTATTCATTGCTTGGTATTTGCTCTTATGTTTTTTATTTGCTTAGGCTTAAAAAAAAAGTCCTTAGTAAACTATCTAGCAATATGTATAGGAAGTCTTTAGTAAATTTTTTATCGTGATATGATTGTAACTTTAACAGGTTTGATATGAGTTTTGTTGTCTAGAAAACTTAGGTTGTTCATTCTTCTAATAAGTGTTGATCTCTCAATAACCTGTGTATTTAAGCACAGGTTATTGCTAACAAACACATACCATATACCATATATCCCCCCATCCCTTCTTTCTCTTTCCCCTTTTTCTTACTCTCTCTCTCTCTTATCTCCCCCTTTTTCTCACTTATCTCCCCCTTTTTCTCAATTGAGTGCTTTGTTGTTTTGCCTCAATGAAAATATGTCTTCATTTGTTTATCTTTTTCTCTTATTTGTTTGATATTGTTGTTATTTGACATTTTGGTCCAAATGAAAACATTTTGATGGAATATTGTTTTAATTTTATTCAAGTTAACATACAAGGGATTGCTATTGGGAGGACAATGGATTCGACACAATTGGATGTGTATATGAATCTGATAAGAAAATTAGAGGACATATTGAAACCTAAAGGCGAACTTTGTGGATCAACATAGAAATGGTAGGTTGTCTACATTGAGGACGATCTGATGATGATGGGTGTGATCCATGACATATAAGTTCACATGACTAAGTCTATTTCAATTGCTTTCTTTTATCTACTTGCATTTAGCTTAAACTTGCACAATAAATGCCAAAGCCTTTCAAGTGGACTATTTGGATATTGTGTATAGTTGAACTTTTTCTAATGATTCTTGAAATTGTTGAAGTTCTTTTGGATTTGGGTTTGATCGATTATATTCTGCAACAAGTTACACATGCTTATACAATTGCTGCTATTTCTTATTTTTTTTGGTTAGTTAGTGACATCTTTCGAAAATATGAGGTGAAGTTTGTGATGCTATCTAAATTTTGATGTGTGTACTCAAAATGTTGACATCGTTGCTCCTTAAATTAGCTTATTTTAAGTGAATAGGATGTTTTTTTTTTTTTTTGAAAATATAAGTTTGAGTAGGCACATTGGAAAAGAGACTCCTTATCCCCAAAGGTAACATGACCGGATTCTATAATATAAAACACTGCAGCTTTAACAAATCTATCATACGGTCTCAAATCAATTCATTTAACGATCATCAACATTCCTCTCATTTCTCCCAAATTCATCATTCCTCATCTACAATTTTTTCCAAAAATTTGACTTCTTAGTCACCTCACCGGTCAGAGATGCCGTATCTCCTCCATCTCTTTTTTTTTTTACCCTCCCTCTGTCAATCCTCACTCTCTCTGTTACGCCTCAGCAATACTATCACCACCGCCACTTCGTCAGCAACACCGCCACCGCCACCGCCACCGCCACTGCCACTGCCACTGCTAACCCCTCCCAGGTATCCTTGATATATCTCTCTCTCTCTCACACACACACACACTAACCACCCTTCCTACCCCCACCTCTTCTCTGTTCTCTCTCTCTCACACACACTTAATGCCCCCCCCCCCCCCCCAAAAAAAAAAAAAAGCCTTCCACCCCAACCCACCCTCTGCGCAACCCACCCAGGGACACCGCTGGCAAAGCATGAGGTGGGTTTAGTGAGTTGGGTTCTTTTGCTCCCTTCTTATTTCATTTTCTTCAGTTTACTGAGCTGTGTTCACAAACGGCTATAACCATGAGCAGTTGTAGCCTAGCCCTTGATAATTTTTTGTTCTAAGCAACAAAGGAAAGAAACCCCACTAAACAACACGTGAGCAATGATGCACTTGAGAGGTGGATAGGCTTGTGGCTTGCCGACTAAGCGATCATTATTACTTCTGAAATTTTCTATATTGCTTCAATGCTAGAAACATTCAAAGCCAAAGCTAAGATATTGTACCACATTGGTGGTTTCGGTCCTAAGTTCAAATGTTAATTTGGTAGATTGTGTTTTGTGTATTTGGTTGGATTGGGTCATGTGATCATGCGTTCACGTAGTGTTTGGGGTTTGTTAATTGGTTGGAAGATTCATGAAGGTTTTTTTTTTTTTTTTTTATGTTTTGTTTTTCATATGTATCTTTGTCATGTTTAGGATTTTTAATTTCTTTGAATTGTGCTATTGGTTGGTCTTTTATAAGTTGTTATAAATTTGTTAGTATTGTTTTAGGGTCTTTTTATAAACTTTATGACTTAATTAATGTTCAAATTGTTCAATTATTGAATACCTCAGGTTTTTTGCCTTCTGTTTGTGTTTCGCACAATTTGGGGAACATTAAATTTGTGTAGACCGGGTATGATAAATAACTATTTTGATTATTTTGAGTGATTAATACTATGTGCTTTGGTCAATGTTGTTTATTTTTGTCGGATCTATTGATTTTTTATGTTTTTTGTATGTTGTTTTGGTTTGATTAGAATGTCTTAAATTGTAGTGCATTGTATAGTATTTTACATGAGTTTTGAGGTTGAATTTTTTAGGAATTTAATGTTTTATTTTGATTTCTTATGCTTTTTGTATTTTGTTTTGGTTTGATTAGAATGTCTTAAATTTGTAGTACATTGTATAATGTTCCACATTAGGTCATCCAATTGAATTTTCTGGTTCTTTCACTCCTTTAGATTGAACTTCTTGAAAAAGGAATTGAAGTCATATCGAATTTAAATTCTAATTTTTGAATTGGGTTGGTGACTAGGTGGACTGATTATTATTCTTAGTATGGTTATTGACAATCTTATTTTTCTTTGTTAGGAGGAAGGATGTGTACGGTTTTGTGGAAGGTATTACATGTTACCACTTTTTGCTTTTGAGTTGTATAGACATAAGTCTAAGTAGAGTTTGATTTTAGGTGTAAAGAAATATATAATGAGATGATTCTAAATTTGATTTTATATTTAGAAGAGTATATTTTTAGATGTTTTTGATTTGGGTTGTGATTGTAACCTATATTAATTTTGTATATATGTTGATATATTTTTGGTGTACTCTTTGTAAGATAGATTTTGTCCAAATTTTTTAAAAGAACAAAGAAATTTTACTTTGATTAAATATTGATGATTGTTTTTTTAAGAATAGCATAGTGCCTTTGGAGACTAACATTTCTTCTAATAGAATAGATATGCAAATCTCTCTGAGTTAACTTTTAGGTAAATCTTCCTGGGCATTACTACAAGTTCTAATTAAGTATATAATTTCAAACATATTAATTTTTTGTATCTACGATCAATATTCAATTTTTTTAAATTGCATAGTGTCTTTAGACACGAGTTGTCGCTATATACACATAAAGAAAGAGAGTCTCACAGCCTATTCTTTTCTTTCTTTAAAACCCACATATGTGATATGTGTTTGTGTATGTATAGAGAGAAAAAGAAGACTTACATAATTGTTTGTTGTCTCTAAAATCTACATAACTATATAATAAATTAGTTAGCAAGTTAAATTTTATCCCATACATATTTTTCCCCCAAAACCATCTCATCACACTCATGTTTCTTCTTTTTTTTGTCTGTATAATTTTGACGAAGAAATGAAGATACATAAAAGAGCTTGGGAATAAAAAAAGACTATATCATGGTGGTTGTTATACATGTTTTTTGATTTCGAAATAGTTGATAGTGAGTGGTTTTATGAATGTTTTCAAATTTGTCTACTTTTTTATATTTATTGTGTTGATTAGTTCTAATAAAAGTGACCGAATGATAATTAGTTATGAGTATTACATTGTGTATGGTGGGTCCTATAATTGGTTTAGATCGTCTTTTCTTTAATATATAAGCTTTTCTCAATGATAAACAACTTTGTATCAATAATTATTGTTTTTAGAAATGATTATGAAATATAGAGATGGTGTACACAGGTTGATATTTTGATAAGGTCCTGTTTTTGGAAGAAACTCTATCAATTGTTTTTTAGAAAATTATGAGCTAAGTTGGATTTTAGATTTTTTAGTTGAGTAAAAAAGAGGAAAAATAAATTTTTATAAATTAACAATGAAACATAAACTGTGTTAAATTTTTTTGTATTACATAGGGCTTTTAGATACATGTCATTAATCCTTTTTTTTTTTAGTGTTGAATATTGGTTCTCTCACTTATAAGTCACAAATTTGTTGGCTCCACTCATTTGATTGATTTTTGAGGAGGTTAATGATCACTTGAGATGTGTTGAAAATGAAATTTAGGAATAGGATTTTAAATAAGCACTCGAGGTTAGGGTTGATTGTGGTTGTATCGAAATTGAAGCCCCGGGACAATAATTCTCTCAGAGTTTTGCATATTGTATTTTGATTGTAGTGGGCTACTTGAATTTTGGATTTATAAGAATATTTGATATTGATTTGGGAGGGTGATTGTGGTACTGGTTGGATTGAGATGGTATCTTTGGTGTGACACCATTGTGGTCTATGCGTGGTGTATGAAGAGACAAAATAGGAGGAGGCGAAAGAGTGAAGGACATTAGTCCTTTGATCCTAATTGTTGATGGCGTCACCTATCTACATTAATCCAATAACCACATGAGGGCTAATGTAGACATCTCTAAACGTTAGGGGGAAGTTGCAAATTAAGTGATGATAAAATTATTGTAGTTCTATAAATTTAATCCCACATTAAAATGTACAAGTGATCTACAAAACATTCATATCAACAGAAGGGGTGTATGTAGTTCTGTTTTCTAAATCAAAAGCTGGCAATTCTTTTGGTCACAAACGATAATTGCCCACTTAGTCATTTCATTGCTAATTTTAATATAATTATATTTTTATCTCATTTTATAGCTTTTTGCCAAGAACGGGTAATTTTCAATTAGCGTTTTTCATTCTTAGATCCATTAAAAACATGGTTGTTTTCACATATTATAGCTATGATCGGTTTGAGAGTTTTAGGTTGAAAATTTCTTAAATTATTTTTTTTTCCGCTGCAAAATGTTCACATACAGATCGTGTACATGTCCTTCTCCCTGAAAATGGGTCAAACTGCACAAAAAACAAAACATTGTGTACCTTGAGGTTTTGTTGTAACATGTGGTATTCTACAATAAATAAATGATATAATTTTTTTGTAAGTTTAATTCTACCAATGACAATTATTTTAATAATGCTATTTTATTTTTACAATTGAATTTAATTTTTGTAGAATTGGAATGAAAAAGTGCGCGAGTTAAATATAATAAATACAACCAAGTTTTCGCGATGGGGATGTACGAATAAGGTAACTAATTTTATTGTTTGTTGTTTATTGTTTTCTTTTCTAATTTTTTTTTTAAAATTATGTTGTGTATTGATTTTATTGTTTTTGTAAACAATATGTTGTTATACATTCTCCCAACTGGTGGATGCGGATATGTGTTGATACAAGGATTTGATGATAAAGAGAAAGTTTGATAATATTAATGATGGATGATCAATTTTGGTAAATTAGATTAAAGATTGACCCATTTTGCAACTGTAGAGTATAATTACGTTTGATGATCATTCTTTCATTTTATGGTTAATGTTGTTGTGGTAGTTGGTAAAAATAGTTGTGTTCATAGAGGATTGTGGTTAATATTTTTAGGAGATGTTCAACCGAAATTTTTATTTCTTTCATTTTGCAAGTGTACAATATATATTTTGATTCAAATATGTAATCCAAAAGTAGAATATTTTGACTTGGTCAAACCCTAATTTTTGCTGATTTATTGAGGTAGAGTTGATTTAGAAGTAATTTATGTCATTTTATTGTGTGATAGAAGTTGCTTGAGACTAAGAAATTTAATGGATTGTTTATAAATTTTTGAAAAAATGGTTGTACTACACTCTTTTATGTTTGGATTGTCACATTTTCATGTATTGCTATGGTGCAGTTGGTATTGTTAGTATGCTTTTGAGCCGCTTGGATACATAAAAGGCATCATAGATTGTTGAGTCTTGATTTAGTATAGACAACACAATTTGGTTGAATTGGTGCAATATAACATTGGGAGTTTACAGTTTATTTGTTTAATTAAGATTTTATAGAGGGTGGATTGTGTAATTAGCATTTTACAAATTGCCTAATACAGATTGATAGTTTCTTGCAGTTCGATTTGTAGGAAAAATTTTGTCCAAATTTTTTAAATGAACACAGAAAAATAGTTGATTAAATATTGATGATTTTTTGTTTAGCATAATATAGTGCTTCGAGGCACATGTGTTTCTTCTAATTGTATTTTTTATGATGAATGAAAAGAAATCATTTCGAGTCACTTTAGTTCACCAAAATCATGACATTAAGTTAGATAAGTGAATGTCGGTTCTTAAACTGATCATCGCTTACTAAGCGCTACTGTTAATTTTAATTAGATATGTAATTTTAAGAATATTAATTTCATGCGTTTTCAGTTTAAGTTTATGAGACTTTTATCATTAAAGTTGAGTTTTTTCCACCTTCATATAGGTCATACGTTGTTGATCACTAATTCAAAGTGTAGGTGCGTTAAGGATACAGTTGTATCTTCCAGCTTAATATGCGCGTTCATGTTCAGTACTTTATTTTTTTGTGTTCACAATCAATGTTCGGTTTTTCTGAATTGTACAGTGCCTTTACGCACGGGTTATTGCTAGTTTTCTGATATGGCTGAGCGACCGTTGGATCAACAGCATCCACAGTCTCCTTCTCCACCAAAGGAGGACATGATTGCGTGTGTCATGGAATTAGAGGCTGCTTTGCTTCCATGCTTGCCTGCAAGAGAGCTCCAAGCCATAGACCGATCGCCCCACCCTTCTCACCAGAGTGGGTGATCTATTTGCCCTTTTTTTGGCTACAAAGCCTGCAAGATCTCTTGAAAACTCATCACTTTTGCATAGGCACAACCTTGAACCAATTGATTGTCAATTTTGGGTATGTTTTCAATACTAATTTGGTAATAATTGTAGGAGTTGATTAGCATAAATTGAGAAATTTCAAAGAACAGAGCGGCATTTCATGAAGGCTATGAAAATGTTGATTGTTGTTCTTATTGGTTCAAAAACACCTTTCTACAGAGAGGCTTGGTGAATACTCTTTTCTGTTAAGATTTTTTTTGGGTTGTGGCAAGAACAAATGTTTAACCTTGTATGAGGACTTTGAAAGTTTAACTATTAATTTCTGGGAAAGCTTTGAGTTGGTAACTGCATTTGGTATTGTTAATGTTGAATCATTGGGCTATAGGATGTGTATAGTTTTCTAAAAATTCAGAACATCAAAGACCAGTAAGTTTGTTCTCTGAAAGCCCAGCATAGAATAATTTCATAACATTTCCCATCTAGTCTCTAGATGTATGCCATCATTACTACCATAGAAATCTTGCAGTGATGACTTTGTTTATTATTCAAATTCGTCTGGGAAGTGTGGTGAGGTATTCAAGGGGCTTGATAGAAACATTTTACAGTGTTGATGCGGCCCCGTATGAGTCATGGTTGTAAAAGTAGCCATGCTTTAAGTAAAAAACAATGTCTAGTGCTGCTTGTGTTGTTCAGCCCTGTTCTGGCTGCAATAGTAGTGAAACATATTACTGAAAACCTGCATCGACAGTATTGTTTTCTTCATGTGTGTGTAATTGCAAAAGTTTTTATCTATTGGTGGTGTTATAGACCTAGATGTATAGCTTTTTGTTTGATTGTTGGGTGGTTAGTTGTTGCTCTGTAATTGGTCTTATTGAGTAAAATTCTGTTTCACTTCTCGACATATGTGCTTAGCAGAGTGTAATATACATGTGTTTTGCTTGGTGCCAATAGAGTCGATTCTCTTTTGATTGCTTTAGTTGATGGGGAGAGACATGCCAGAGATTTTATGGATGCTGCCAAAAAACTTCAACTATATTTTATTGGTCTGCAACGCGAGGATCAGCCGACCTATGCTGAAAGCCTGCAGAAGGTAGTCTACAGATCATAACGTGAATGGTTTTTGATGTTCAACATAGCTGTTGTAAGATTCTTATTAGACATTGATGAACTTACTGTCATTGGGCTTCTTGACATGTTGTGATAGGAGATCGCTATGATGGAAGAAGAGTTCAAGACAAAGACTGAACTTATCAAGAAGCAAGAGAGACTGATCCAAGGGTGGCAGAAGGAGTTGAAAGACCATTTAGAAAAACACAATACTGAATTAGAGAGGGTGTAATTTGGTCTGGAACTAACTTTGTAGCAACTCAAAACATCATTTCATAAATGGCAGATGCCTTGTTGGACCAGCACTTTATGGCATCAATTAATGTTCTTATACTTTCTTTTTCAAATTATAGAATTGTATTTGCTCGTCTAATCAGTAGAAATTTCTGTGATTAAGCATTCTTTTAATCCAACTGAGCTTGCCAATTGGATGGTGGAATGAAATGAGAAGAAAATAGGATCAATACTGAATTGTCTGTTGGTATATGACCATCTGGATTACACCCCTCATCCAGGGAAGAAAGCAAAATGAAAATGGGGAGACGAATTAGCATAAAGACGAGTCAGATAATGGGGACAAGACATAAGCAAAGAGAAATCATGAAGCACTTGTCACCTTAGCTAATTTAGTGTTCACAGAAATTTTGCAGAAAATGGAAATCAAACTACAAGCCCAGTGTAACAAGGTAACATACTACAGTTACACATGTCCTATCCCTCGACTAAAGACAAATGAGCAAATACAATTAATAACATGCTTAACGTCAAAATTCTATGTACTCCTGTCCTCCCACTTGGAAAAATAGCCGAAAGAAAAACCCATTCATCTACTTCTTTGCATAAGTAATCAGCATTGGGTTCTCGGCGGTTATGTTGAATCCCTGGAGTCCCTGCATTGCAACAGTCGATTGCATCTCATTTTCATACTCTATAAAGGCAATTCCAGGTTTCGCTTCCACCATCCTAACTTCCTTAAAGCCGGAATACTGACAGAAGAGCATTTGCAGCATCATTGGAGTTGTCTGATGAGGAAGATTCTGGATGAATAATATGCTATTTGGTGGAGCAGGCGCCTCTGGGAGGGCAGATTTTGAACCATCCATGTACGGTATCTGTGATAACTGCACCAATTATGAAGAAATGGAGTCAGACTGACAAAGAGTGACTAATCTATCTGGCCATTAGCACATGACAGGACTATTGTATTAAGAAACCAATTAAACTCCCAATATGATGGGAATATAAGATGACATAAGAGAAAGAAAAAACTGTGCAGCCTCTGCATCATGCTTTGCACTAACTTATAACTTAGATTGGTCAATGGAGTTCGCTATTCCCCTTATTCTTTCACTTGCTAAGCCAATAGGCTTAATCAACGAGTACTGTGTTATGACCCAAAAACATTTTAAAACATTTTTGTTCGTGTATCATTCTGTAATTAATGATTTATAACTGAAAACAAGAAATCTTGAACAGAAATAATTTGTGACGTAGCAGTGCGAGTGTGTGTTTTTGCCTTCCTGCATTTCCACATCACGGCATTCACCAGTTATGTGCATTCCAACAGCAACATGAGTGATTTTTAATCAGCTACAACTCAACAAACAAACTCTTAAAAACCTGCATATTTTGATGTCCATTAGATTTGATAATCAGTTGAATGACAGGAATCATCAAATTATAAGGAAAAATTATATGACATCTAAGTTTATTTTATGTTCAAGATTCCATCAATATTCTGAAAGGAGTCCAGAAAAATATGCTTACAGGTGGTGTTGCACCATAGGCACCAGCATAGGCAGGATTCAGACCCATTGCAGCTTGGTTAGGATCTAGTTGCTCTTTTCGCTTCCTCCCTGCAGCATAACAGATACACATTTGTGGGTGAAGAGAGGAAAAAAAGGGGAGAATGCACTCCAATTTTTTTTTTTTTTTGGGGAGGTGGGGGAAGGGGAGAGAGGAAAAACTGAACTACTATGTCGAAATTAGACACAACAATATGCCCAGAACAGAAAACCCATTGTGATAACCAGAGCTATACATAAAACACATCTTCAATCTTCCAGAAATTCGATCAAGGAACTACTTTCTGCATAAACAACTGGAATGTATGGGTTTATTTTGGCAGTCTCCATGACTAAAGTTTGTTTTGAGAATACTTTGACAGTAATCATAGAAAGCTTCAACTGCTCAACGATGTGAGTGTATTGTGGACCTGCTAATGAGGGGATAAATGGGAAGCAATAAGTCATTGCAGTAGATTCCATGACATGGAGTTGCTAGTGTTGTGACCAACTCATTTATGAAGGCCTCTAGGAAACCTTAGGAAAGATAAGCGTTAAGACATCAATATAAAAGACACTCACCACAACTTAAATTGTTTTGCTTTTAACACTGGAAACTTTTCAAATTTCTTCAGCATGGTGACTTTTCTGTTTGTTGTCTTATTGGTTTGATCAGTGATATCACTAGCATCACTGATCAACTCGATGTTTAGCGTTCACCAATCAGATACTGCAAATGCCGAACCAAAATAGGATAGGGAAGAAAAGAAGTAACTGCCAAGCAAAAAGGTTACCATGACAGAATTCAGAAAATGCTAATATGTGATTATTGTGAAATGACTACAATGATTTCTTTCATATCTCATTACTAGTGTGAATGATGTGTAGATGTGGTCTATTTCGGCAATCACATTGGAATAGTGCAGATAAACGAATGGCTTACCTCTCTCCTCATGCCTCTTTCTTCTTTCTCTTGGTACAAAAGTACCATCCGCTTTTGCAAAGACATCTGATTTTGTCTTTGCATATTGTATCCTCTGTGGATTTACATGACTAACCAATCACTATAGCAATAAACGTTTCCATGCTAGTGGTAGTCAAGAAAGTTATCCGTGAAACCAAAGGTAATCACACAATGTAAAAACAAATAGTAATGGGAACTGAAAATCAGCAACATAGAGAGAATAAAAGGCATGGATCTGACTTGCATCAATCGAGTATAACAAGGACCTTTCCAATTCTCCATAACAATCTACCAACCACACCATGAACATGATGAGACCACACCCAAACTTGATTGAGCAAAGCATACAATGGTTGTAGGTTTGGTAACAAATGCAAACAGCCTTCAGTAAATAACTAATATTTTGTATCTCTTTAGTTGATAAGCAAATAATAGATTTCCACATGCCTACAAATAGTTAAAAAGTGGCTATCTAGTATATGCTTCCAGCTTCCCTATACTAAAATTGCTGTAAAAGTTGGAGACCAAATCAACAAGTTATATTGTCTTTCTTCAGCCCTATACCAAGGGGAGTAGGTTAGTCCCTAGGAAACACATAAGAAAAGCTAGCTGGATAAACAAGTCAAGGATCGCCCATACATCAATGCTACCTTGGGGATGAGACAAAAGACTTTAAAACTTTTTCAATATGTGAACAAGATTACTATAGAAGAGATGATGACCATTTTTATGACACCAAAGCATAGCCGGTGGAACCATATTTTGGGTACAAAGCAAAGTGTGATCCACATGGCCTAATAAAATCATAATATCACCTCTAGGAAGTTATCTTCAATTTTATCAAATGACAACCAAACTTCCTTCAAAATAAATTCCTGAACTAAACTGCCTTGATCTTTTTTAATCAAAAGAAAAAGAAAATCCTCACCAAATTGAGTAAGAAAAACATGTATTTTTTTTTTATCAATCAGAACTACTATCATATTATGTATAGTTTCCAAAAAATTGATTGGTGAATGGTTAAACAATTTAAACTCAAGTACTTGTCTGCAACGTGGTCATCACATCCCATAATTTACACATAATCCCCATATATCCTTATTATGTAAATTTCTGAGTGTCATGTCTGACGTTTTTACCAAGGTTTAGGATTTCTTGGAAGTAACATACAATTAAGGTTGATAATTAAACCGAGCTACTAGAGCTCGACTTGGGTTCGGATAGGTTCATTCAGGATCGAGTTCGTTTAGAAAACGAACTGAACTTAAACAATTTTTTATCCTCTCTGAAGTTCACAGGCTCAAGCCGTATTCGATTATCAGCCCGACATACATTAGAGATTCAAAGAATATTTGTTCTTAGAAAATGTTCTGAAAGAGACACTTTAAAAACAATAATAAATAAATAAAAAGAAAAAAGCACCATAAATAAAGAACAAAATCAACAGAAAAATAAAGAAAAATTCAGTACCATGGGCTTGTCATAGAAAGGAAAGCCCTGCATCTGGCGAAGCGCCTTGGTGGCGGAAGAAGCGTCCTCGAAAATAACCCAAGCTTGACCTTTGTGTTTGAGGGTTTTGAATGCTAAAACCTCCAATATCTTTCCAAATTGAGAGAACACCGCATTCAGCGATTTCTTCAACTCTACAATTTTCAGTCCAATTTCAGTCCCATACAAATACATATAAGTACGTGTTCTAGGCCAAAAGTTTCAGCAGAGACATCAGCGAGAGAGAGAGAGAGAGAGAGAGAGAGAGAGAGAGAGAGAGAGAGAGAGAGAGAGAGAGAGAGAGAGAGAGCGGATAATACCTTCGAGCTTGACTTTCTCGTTGAGGTTGTTGATGTAAATAGTCATATTTGGAGGAATGTCACCGCCGGGGGTGGTAGTGATCTCTGCCATCGCTTCTCTCTGTAAGAGAGTGAAAGCTTAACTCACTCAATCGAAGGAGCTCCCACTGCGAGTCCCAGCGGCCGATACACAGAAACGAAAGCTTTTCCCTCTGATTAATTAGGTAGAACAATGAACATGTATTCTAGACGTTGCATTTTTTTTTTAACATTCTAAAATTTTCTCATTTTAACATTGCGAGGACAATTGATTGTTTTGAGTAAAGAACAGTGTTTTAAAATCTGGGCCGGATAACAACCCGGCAGAGAGATTTGATCACTGAGTCAATGGTTCAACCGTCGGTTAGACCGGTAATACAATAAAAAATAATAAATATACAAAAAAAATTATAATAAATCCACCAAAATCTCATTTCATAGCAACAAAGACACCACCATATATATAAATTCAAGCTTCAAAAGCATTAACAACATCCCAACAAATCACAGATTCAATGTATAAAAAATTCATGCATGAAAATAATCACAAATCAAAAATCAGATTTAATGTATAAAAATAAAAAATCACAGATTCAATAAAAATAATAGAGAGGCAGAGTATGATGGCTTTTTAATTATAGATTCAATGTATACAAATAAAAAATCTAATATTGCAGGAGAGAGAAATCGAGAAAGATAATGAGAGAGAGGCAGAGTAGTACCTGCTACTGTCAATGGGAGTTGTCGTTGGCTACTGCAATGGAGATTTGAAGCTTGAAGCAGCCTCTTCTTTGAAGCAAGAGTCCCTGAAGCAATGAAGCAGGAGCCCGTGAAGTAAAATTCCTTCACCCTTGAGCTTTTATTGCTCTATCGTAGTTGCAGCAGAGACTCAGAGAGAGAGAGAGAAACAAAGAGAGCGTTTGAAAGTCTCAGAGCAGGGGGGTTTGGGAACGATTTAGATTTTAGGGCAAAATGCCCCAAAAATGCAAAACCAGAGAGAGAGAGAGAAAGGGAGGGAAACTCACTTCGTCACTGGTTCTGTCCACAATCGCTGGATTGGAGTCGCTACTGCTTACTGGTGCTGGAGGCTGGACTGGAGCGTGGAATCGCTGGTGGAGGTTGCCTCTTCTTGTCTACTCTGGTTTGGAGCGATTTAGGGCAAAACAAAAAGACAAAAACACAAAATGTCCGAAAAAAAAAGCATAAGATCTATTGTTTATACAATTTTAATTAAGCTGGTTTGGTTCAACTCTCCCGGTTCAAACATGTTCACCGGTTTTTGACCATTTTTTATTCCGATTTTCAAGCACAAAATATTTTTTTTTTAAAAACCGGCCCAGTTAGAGCACCAGTTCACTAGGTCAACGGGCTAGGTCAGATTTTAAAACACTAGTAAAGAAGTCCAAATTCTATCATCAACACAAACAATGCTAAGAGAGAGATAAAATAAAAATTTAATTAGGATCGTCAAAATAAATAATTCTAAGAGAGAGAAAGTATGAGATATATATATAGAGAGAGGGGGAGAAAATGAGAGATGTGTTTAAAATATTTTTGAAAGAGAGAGAGAGTTATATATGAAGAAATATTGATTCAAATTCTTGTATATTTTCATTCAATGATACACGACTTTAATAGCCTTTTTACAAAACTTGTTCCTAAAGAATAGGAGATAAGTATGAGATATCACATAATTTTAGGGATCAATCTTATCACCTTATCAATCTATTTACAGATTAGAAGATAATGAGATGTTGTGCATGCCCAACTTGTCCAGAAGTCCATGGAAGACTTGACTTGATAAGGCCTTAGTGAGAATGTCAGCAAGTTGATCTTGAGATCGAACATGAGGGACTTCAATAATCTTCGCTTCCAGTTTCTCCTTAATAAAATGTCTGTCAATTTCTACATGTTTAGTTCGATCGTGATGAATAGGATTATAAGCTATGTCACATGCTGTCTTATTATCGCAATAGAGTTTCATAGGAGATGCTAGTGAAATCTTGAGTTCCTGCAATAGATTTTTAATCCATAATAGCTCACACACACCCTTAGCCATACCTCTATATTCACCTTTTGCACTGGATCTAGCCACAACTTCTTGTTTTTTGCTTCGCCATGTAACCAGATTTCCTCCAACATACGTTAAGTACCCCATGGTTGAACGCCTATCATCAATTGATCTAGCCCAATCTCCCTTAGTGAACATAATTCCTTTTCCCGGAGAAGACTTCAAATATCGTAGGATTCTTATTACGACATCCATATGATCTTCACTGGGAAAGTGCATGAACTGACTAACAACACTAAGAGAACATGTCAGGTTGGGCCGAGTATGGGCAAGGTACATCAACCGTCCTACAAGTCTTTGATATCGTTCTTTATTTGTGGGGATTTGATCCAGAAATATACCCAATTTGACGTTTTCAGCAGCAGGTATATTACTTGGTTTGCAACCTAACATGCCAACTTCATTTAGTAAATCTAGAGTATATTTCCGTTATGACAAGAATATACCTCGTTTAGATCTTAGCACCTCGATTCCCAGAAAATACTTCAATGGTCCAAGATCCTTCATTTCAAACTCACGAGAAAGATAGGTCTGCAAAGCTTGTCTTTCATTAGCATCATTTCCTGTTACAATCATATCGTCGACATATATAATTAACACAATGAGCTTTCCTTTATTATTTTTTATGAAGAGAGTGTGATCAAAATTTCTCTATTGATATCCAAATGCCTTCATTGAACTTGTAAATTTGCCAAACCAAGCCCTTGGTGATTGTTTTAAACCATACAATGATTTTTGTAATCTACACACTTGTTCGCTTCCTTCAATCTGTAAATTACATCATGGAGGCAACTCCATGTATACTTCCTCTTGGAGATTTCCATGTAGGAAAGCATTCTTTATATCAAATTGTTGTAGTGGCCAGTTGAAGTTCACAGCTAATGATAAGGGTATAGGTATTGTATTTATTTTGGCCACAGATGCGAAGGTTTCTGCATAGTCAATCCCATATGTTTGACTGTATCCCTTAGCTACAAGTCGAGCTTTAAATCTCTCAATGTCACCATTTGCTTTTTATTTAATTGTAAAAATCCATCGACATCCCATAGGTTTTTTTCCAACTGGTAAATCAACCACCTCCCATGTTATATTTTTTTGAAGGGACTTCATCTCCTCAATCATTGCTTCATTCCACCTGGAGTCTTTCAAGGCCTCCTGCACACTATTAGGTATATGTACAGCAGATAATTGAGGAGTAGAATTAAGAAACATAATTGTTCAGTGGGTACTTAGGAGTAGAATTAAGAACAGGTTCATAACTAACTCTAGGAAATCCTCTTGTGGTACGATTAGGAAGTATTCGGAGTGGAGGTTCATGACTTACTTTAGGTTCGGTGACTGAGAATGACTCATGATGAGAAGTAGAAGCGTCAAGTGGAGACAATTGATGTTGTGGTCCAACCGGCTCAGTCATATTATCATGATCACACGGTGGAAGCTCAAGTGTTATAGGCTCATTCATTATATCCTTCTGTTGTGGTTCAGTTGTGCGGCTAGATGACTGCAATTCATTTGTGTGACCAGGGAGCTATTCAAGTCGAGTTGCTGCAACAATTTCGGGCTCTGTAGTTTCGTCAGGTTCAAGTTCTGCAGTTTTGGTAGGTTCAGGTTCAGGATTATGGCTTATGATTTCGGTTGGGTGGCTAAGGGACTGCAAGTCACCGATACCAATACTTTGCTCCCCCTGACTTACAGTTGATGTTGCAGGATAATACATTTGAAGTTCATGGAATTTTACGTCCATAGTAACATGTAGTTTGCAAGTTGGTGGGTGGTAACATTTGTATCCCTTTTGATGGAGGTCATAGCCAACAAAGACACAACGAAGAGCACGTGGTTGTAGTTTATGGCGAGCATGACTGGGTATGTGTACAAATGCAGTACAGCCAAAAACTTTTGAGGGCAGGTTTGACACGGATGGTGAGGACATGGTTTGATTTAAGGTTTCAAGGGGTGTATGGAAGTCCAAGCTACGGGATGGAATCCGGTTGATCAAGTAGGATGTAGCAATAAGTGATATGCCCCAATAATGAAGCGGCATATGGGCATCAAACAATATTGCTCGAACCATTTCCAGAAGTTGTCGGTTTTTTCTTTCTGTAACCCCATTTTGTTGGGAAGTAGATGGGCATGTGGTTTGGTGAATGATGTCATGAAGATGTAAGAATTGCTCCAGCTCATGATTTACAAATTCCCCGCCATTATCAGTACGAAGAACTTGAATGGAAGTCTTATATTGAGTAGCAACCATCAAGTGAAATTGTTTAAATAGTGAACAAACATCCTGCTTTGTTTTCATCAAACACACCCAAGTCATGCGACTATGATCATCAATAAAAGAAACAAACCATCATGCACCATTAAGTGTTGGAATTTTTGCTGGGCCCCAAACATCAGAGTGTACAATCATAAATGGAAAAGGACTTTTATTCAAACTCAACGGAAAAGGAGCACGACGGCTCTTTGCCAATGCACAAACTTCACATTTAAACAGTGACAGAGATGTATTGGTAAATAATTTTGGAAACAAATGCTTTGAGTATCCAAATGAAGCATGTCCAAACTGTTTGTGTAACAACCAAATATCAGAAGTAGAGTCCGAACTAGTAACTGATAATGACTGAGCCAATGCACTTGAGCTAGATGGTGCGAGATCAAGACAATAGAGCTTTCCTCTTCCAGTACAACGCCCAATTGTCCTTCGTGTCTTGATGTCCTTAAAGAAACAATGGTTAGGCCAAAAAATCACAACACAATTCAAGGAAGTGGTAATTTGAGATACAGATAACAAGTTAAAATTAAGTGAAGGCACCACAGGAACAAAATCTAAATTACGCTTGTTTAGAGAGAGGGAACCTTCACCAATAACTGTAGCCGAAGTGCCATTGGCTGTAGAAACAACATGGGTTTCAACGTAGGAATAGAAGCAGTATCAAAGGACATATGATCAGTTGATCCAGAATCAATAATCCATGTACAAGATCCAATAGGAGCCGAGTTATTTAAAGACTTACCTAGGGAATCAGAAGAAAAATGTAAAGCAGTAGGGTCTGATATAGGCTCTTCAGCTTTGACAGTGGCAGCGGAAGCAGTAGAAGTAAGATTTGAGTTACGTTTAGTTGGAGCCTTGGCAAGGTCCCACCATTCAGGATAACCAATCAAGTCATAACAGCGAGATTTAGTATGTCCTGTGCCACCACAATGAGTATAGGACCTAGATGATCCAAGGCGTTTATTGCCAATATCAAAACTACGGGATGCTGGTGTGGAAGAAGCTGGAGCAGCATCAGGTCTGATTCGACGTGTAGGTGGAGTGGATCTACTTGCTAACATAGCCACAAAATCAGGAGTAGTCAGATCCCCATTTAAGAGAGCCCGATGATTTGCTTCACGATGAACATATGTGTATGTATGTTCAAGGGCCAAACTTGGATCCATGCGAAGAATCTCCCCTCGCACCTGTTCAAATTCAGCATCAAGACCATTCAAGAATATATGAATCCGCAATGTTTCAACGGATTTTTTATATGCAACACTATCATCAGGATCCTTCATGGTAAAGTTGTCACGGTGGTCAAGTTCTTGGAAGATTTCAATGAGTTCACCATAATATGTGGGAAGAGAACGACCACATTGACGGAGGGAAAAAGCACGTTGATTGAGGCAAAGATTTGTGTTTCGTCGATTCCATCGTAGAATGCTTTGGCAAGAGCACTCCAAATTTCACGAGCAGTACGGAGTCGGAGGTATCGCTTCATAATCTCCGGTGCCACTGATGTGAGTAACCAGCCTTTAACCTTTTGATTTTCGGCATACCACTTGGAATACGAAGAATCCTTAGAATTAGTTTGAGGAGAATCACCAATAATGTAATCAAGTTTTTCACGGCCAGCGATATGCATTTTAATAATCTGGGACCAGATGTCATAATTGGTTTCGGTGAGGATTATGCCAGCATTAAAGCCAGAATTTTCAGATTGGACATGTATGACAGGAGAAGAGGATTTGGTGGTGGGTTTGGTTGATTCGGCGGCCATAGTATGTGCAACAGGTTACAGAGACAAGGGTTTGAGATTCAAGGATTCAGATACAAGAAAACCTGCTCTGATACCGTGAAGAAATATTGATTCAAATTCTTGTATATTTTCATTCAATGATACACGGCTTTAATAACCCTTTTACAAAACTTGTTCATAAAGAATAGAAGATAAGTATGAGATATCACATAATTTTAGGGATCAATCTTATCATCTTATCAATCTATTTACAACTAATTAGAAGATAATTATGATAATCTTCAACAATATACATATAAGAGTGAGGTGTATAAGAGAGAGTTATATACATATGAGAGTTGAGTGTATCAGATAAAAAAATAGAGTTATATGAGAGCTTTAATAGAGTTATATGAGAGCTTTAAAATTGTACATATGAGAGTTGAGTGTATGAGATAAAAAGAAAGAGTTATATGAGATATAAAAAGAGAGAGTTATATGAGAGATGAGAGTCATAGAGTTGTAAAAAGAATGAAAGTCCAACAAGAACAACTTTTGATGTTTATGTAAAAATAAAATTACAAACTCAATAATCAGCCAATAATTAATTTTAAAAATGAGCAATTTTCTTAAATATATATATATTAATAATTGTCCGTGCCTAAAGACACTATAAAACTTAAAAAAAAATCACTCATAATCATAAGTTTTCCTCCATTTGTTTAAATTAAAGACATTGAAATCAAACTAACCCTTGCTATTTTTAAAAAAAAAAATTGACAAAATTTTCTGTAAAAATAAGAATTCAGGAAAATCTCAATTTGAATACAAATATGCGGGCATTTGCTTAAGCCTTTGGGAATAAAATCTAAACAAACAACATAGAGTAGAACACCTCTATATAATTGGACCAACAAGTACTAAAAATATCCGTTCAGCTCACACAGTTCTTAGTTGCAAATAAGATAATATATGTTCTAGCAATATTAACCAGTTCATTTTGAAACCAACATTCGACACAATTTTTCTGAATTCTACTTAGTGAGGGCTACTCTTTTTTTTTTATCAAGGAAATAGAAGATCTTTACAGGAGAATTGATTCACCAAAGAAATTGCCTAACCAGTTGAACCCGGGGTATCTAGAGGGAATGCCAACAAACACGATGAATAGTATGAGGTTAGTGAGACGGACCAAATTTTTTTGAATCTGTCCATGCCTAAATTACTTTTATTTAAAATAAAGAGTATACTTTAACTACACAATTCTTGCAATTCATGCATCCAAGTCAAAACTAAAGAAACAATCTAATTATTCTAATAAAACTTCAAGGAGATAACCTAATTCCAGATCCGGTTGCGTAAATTTGATAATCCTCAGGTGGAGAAATTCAATCCATTACAATAAAAAGTTAAAAAAATTTAAAAAAAAAAAATTTACCTACTAAATTAGGACTTCACAAGATGTTTTAATAAACACTAGAGTTTCTCTTATAGATTAATGATGTTCGACTAAGATTGGACTTGGGGGACTTATGTTACCTCAAAGATATTCTTGCTTGGTTTTGCAGTCCTGATTTGGTACTTTGTTTTGCAGTCCATGATTTGGTATAATCTGAGTTGGATGGTTCTAATTTTATTGCATACAAGCATTTATCAATATTATGTGATTATTAGAATTCAATTTTCTTTGTTTATTAAAATAGGCCAACTGTTTTATCTAACTACGATCAAAGCTTACCAGGTTACAGCCTTCGGAGAGCATGTTCGAAGACTTTTTAATAACAATATTTTTTAAATTTATGATATTTTAGATTGGGTTCATACCTGCTAGTAATTGGATGTATTAAGTTGTAGATCAAAGCATACGAACTCAATGAGATCTCTTTCTTCCTTGTCTGATACGGCAAGGATTAGTTGTTGCTTTAGAACAACATACACTTTCCTCTCCCGTTTTGGTTACTGGTTGCGAGAGTTCCAGTTCTATGTGCTCAGACTATGTTAATGAATTTGCAATTCCTCAGAGAGTGTTGTTTGGTTAAGGTACATATTATCAACGACCCAGTGTTAGAAATTGCCACTTACTAAAAGCAAGGCGAGATAAATTTTAATTAACGGTTATTGTGAGGAAGTTAATGTTTGATGTTGTGGTACGTTGATGTGGAATTTTAGTGCTTATTTTTTGGCCTAAGTTAGAACTTTATGGAGTCAAACTTCTCTTTCAATATCTGACTGCAAAACTTTGGGGTGATGCATGAAAGCTCTTCAAATGACAAGAATCTTGCAAGCAGGCCCTTATGTATTACTAGAGACAACGACATTCCCAACAAGGTTGGTGAAATTGTTTGGGTTGATAACGAAGGTCAAGGGCAAGTGTTATTTTCTTCGGTTGGGGATGGGTCTTATAATCAACTCATTAATTTTGGTTCTATTTTTATATATTAACTTTTCTTGCCAATTTAACTCAAACCTTTCCTTTAATCCTAGCTATCTCTTATTTTCACTTTATTTCAATGTCTTTCTCCCAAACTGTCCCCTCTTACTCTATTCATTGGAGTACCAAACCTATTGAGACTCCTTTGCATTTGTCTATTACAATAATTTTCATTAAGGAGGTTTTTGTTTTCTATTCCTAGCTATGAATATAAACGAACATACATTACTTTGAGTGATTGTCACTTTGCTCTTTCATTTATCTTTTGTTTCTTCATACAGCCCTTGTCATATTTCTAAGTTACTCCGATATTGAAAAATAAACTATTAAACGAAAATTAAAAAAAAATTGTAATACAAAATAAATCACAAGCAATGCACGTGTGCACCAACTACTATCAATAAAATGTACAATCTAGTAAAATCACATCCCGGATCATCATGGCAAGAATAATATGAGGCCTTTTTTCTGCAACTTGGGTTTGCATTAACCACTGCTTAAGCTTTGATCACAGTGCCGAACCCCACCACCTCCGGCCAGTGACAGATTATCTTGGTGGTCCCTCACAAGTCTCAACACTGTTGGTTCTAGTAGATATAGTGATGACTGAAGCATCATAATCTTATTTTTTGAAGGAAAGAAATTCCTTCACCTCAAACTGATTTTAACTTACCGTCATTAGAAGACCTCGTGAACAGGCACAACTCTTTTTACAGAAAAATAATTTAACTCTGTATACATGATTGTGCATTTATCTATCCGTATCAAAACGTCATTCCTTACTCAATTCCTGACTAGCAAGCAACAGATTAAGCGAGCAACTCAGAGGTGTAGTTGCTCTGCCATTGTTTTCCCATCTTCTTTCATTTTTCTTTCTGTAACATATATGAAAGAAAGAGGGAGAGTCTCGAGAATTATTTTTGGTGAAAATGTTTTTCATGCACCAAAACTCATCAATACGATGTTGTTTGGATTAACAGCACATGTGCTGTTTTATTGTAATAGAAGAGGAGCCATGCCCCAGCTTCTACATCAACATTTAGTCAGCTTATTAAAGCAGTAGCATTAGCTACTAGAATGCCACAAGAAGTGAGCGAGCACTAAGCTGATACTTGATTCTTCAAACAAAGCCTAATCAACAAATTTACACCATACTAGTTCATGTTTGAGTAGTTTGATTCCATATCAACAGTCCACTAAAAGCAGTAAACGATTCATTTACAGCTACATCAGAACTCCCAAAGTAGAAATCGGTTAGTGCCCCGACTTCATTCTCTCATCTGCCCTTGAAGAGCAATCCTTTGCCCAGTGCCCAGGCTTTCCACACTTATAACAAGTACCTGATGATACAGATATTCGTCCCATCTCAGCAGGGGGGTGGGATGAAGACATAAGACAATCTTTCGCCCAGTGTCCGTCCTTTCCACATTTAAAACAAGAAGAACCACTTGCACTATAGCCTTTGTGGCTCGTTTCATGTATGTTTTGATGAAGTTTAGAAGTGGTGACTGCATGAGAACGATTAGCTGCAACAGTAGAATCATTGCACCATTTGAAAAAACCACAATCTCCCTATAAAGCAAACAAAGCCATAAATGAATGCATAGTGTTATTTGCTCAAGCATAACAAGGCAATCTGAAATTGTTATAGGATTATGTTTCTGTACATCTACTACTTATGTCATCCACTAATGTACAACACAAGTTCCAGGTACGAAAAAGGAAATGAGAGTAGAATTATTCCAGAACAACTTTTAAGATCTCAAAGCCAACTATTTAATTGTATTTCACATTTAAAATGATAAAGGAAAAAACATTAAATTAATAACACCAGTAGGAAGGACAGCATCAATAACAACCTAATTGTGAGTAGAAGCCAGAGAAAGCCCTGCAAAAGATCTTGTGATCTTTAATATGTGATAGGCATAAAGGACAGTATCAAAAGCTCAAAGATACTGATAAAGATACATGCACACAAAGGATGTTGCAAGAAATGAAAATCCTCTAAACTTATTCTGAAGGCACCTTCATGATCAAATGGTTGATATGCCACTTATTATGTCCCAGTTACAATATCATCAAATCTCATGTATACATGTGCGTGTTTTATTCATATGATACACACATAGAACTGCTGTTATAAAAACTTGAAATAAATGTAAGTGAAAAAAGGATATAAACTAAGTGTAAAACCCCCGTATATATAGCCAATGAAAGTTTACAACAAGGATAAAAAGGTAAAACAAAATAAACCCTAATAAACTAGATTGTTATATCTCCAACACTTCCCCTCAAGCTAAGCGCAAAAATATCAACTAAATCAAGCTTGACAATGGAGTCCCGAAGAATGGATAGAGTGACAAGTTTGGTGAAAACATCCACAACCTGATCACGAGTTCTCACGAACGATGGAGTGACAATACCACGGCTAACTTTCTCCTGAAGGAAGTGAACATCAATCTCTATATGCTTTGTTCTCTCGTGTAATACAGAGTCAGAAGCGAGCTGAATAGCAGATCGATTATCATAATATAATGTAGATGAAGAAGTTACTGGAAATCCCAACTCGCCAAGAATCGATCTTAGCCAGATAATCTCACATGTGTTAAGTGCCAATGCCCGATAGTCTGCCTCTGCTGACGAGCGAGAGACAACTGACTGCTTCTTGCTCTTCCAAGAGATAAGATGAGTCCCTCGAAAAGCACAGAAGCCCGTAGTAAATCGACCATCACACGCTCCCCCATAATCTTAATCTGTATAACAGACTAGAAAACCAGTCTGAGATCCTGATGCATAGAACAACCCAAGTTCAGGACAAGGCTTGAGGTACCGAAGAATATGATAAACTGTATCCAAGATGAGGCTGACATGGTCTGTGCATGAACTGACTAACTCGGCTGACAGTAAATGAAATGTCTGGTCTAGTGTTAGCTAGGTAGATAAGTCTACCTACCAACCTCTGATAGACAGTCAGATCTCTCAACTCCCCACCTTCAACAGCAAGCTTCAGGTTTGGAATCATGGGTGATAATGCTGGTTTGTACCCCAGTATCCCAGTGTCTGAGAGAAGATCCAGAACATACTTTCTCTGAGAAAGAACAATACCCCTACTGCTACGGGCAACCTCAATCCCCAGAAAGTATCGCAAAAATCCAAGGTCCTTCACATTGAAGGCCTTCCCAAGGTCTACTTTGATTTGCGCAGTCCCAGAAATATCATCTTCAGTAATAATAATATCATCAACATATACCAAAAGGATAACACACTATCCAGAAATATTCCGTCGAATGAAGCAAGTACGATCAGAATGACATCTGATGAACCCTAAACGTACAACTACATCACTAAAGCGAGAGAACTAGTTTGTGGTGACTGTTTCAGTCCATAAAGAGACTTTCGTAATCGACATACCTTTCCAGCATACTCCCCCTCACCACGAAAGTCCGGTGGTGCATCCATATAAATAATTTCGTCTAGACCACCGTGAAAAAATGTATTCTTTACATCCAACTGATGAAGAGGCCAAAAGTACTCCGCAGCTAGAGAAATAATCAATTGAACAGTAGTCAATTTTGCCACGGGGGTAAAGGTAGCACCAAAATCACGACCTTGTACCTGAGTAAAGCCCTTCACCACAAGCCTAGCCTTGTGACGATCAATAGTACCATCTGCAAGAAATTTCAGGGTGTAAATCCAGCGACAGCCAACAGGTTTCACCCTTGAAAATAAAGAGATAAGATTCCACGTATGATTACGCTAAAGAGCATCCATCTCTGTTTGCATGGCAAGAACCCACTGGGGCTCCCACATAGCCTTTGAAACAGAGCGAGGAACCGGCGTATTTGATAAGATCATACTATAAGCTTGAAATGAAGGAAAAAGATCACCATAAGAAACATAAGCAGAGATCGGATATAAAATCCTGGCTGTCCAACCATAACGGACAACGATCACGCTGCGGATAACGATGCCCTAAATCATCATCCTCCACTGACAATGTCTCATCAGGGAAAGTAACTGGCTCAGTACCTACAATCTCATCAGTACTAACATTACTAACAACAGGTGCATCAATATGCTCAACTAACTGAAAAATATTACTTACATCGCCTGAGGTAGAGGGGACATCAGCAAGGGGAAGAGAGCGAGGACGACGGACATAAACCTATAAAGAAAAAGAGACTGGTAACTCTGTACTGACAGGAACGAGTGGCTCTGGTGGAAAAGAGACTGGTGACTCTGTAGTGATAGTGAATCAAATGGAGGGGCAAACATAGGAGTGGAAGAAAAGTAAGGAATGTGCTCAAGAAAGGTAACATCTAAATTATAATAAATACGGCACCTGATAGAATTATAACACCGATATCCCTTAGACTGATGACAATAGCCCACAAAGATACAACGAATCGCCTTATCATCAAGCTTGTGGCGAGTAGGAGACCGATCCTGAACAAATCATGTGCAGCCAAAAACATGAGGGGGGACCGAAAAAAGTATCCGTTCAGGGAATAAGACTTGTAAGGGAGCTCTATGCTAAAGAACACGACTCGGTGTACGATTACATAGAAATGTAAAAGTCAAAACAGCAAAATGCTAATAAGATTTTGGTACCCCCATACCTCTAAACATATAACATACTATCCCTATTAAACTCTTATTTTTCCTTTCAGCAACTCCATTTTGCTCAGGAGTATATGGACAAGTGAGCTGCTAAAAGATATCCTGAGAAGAAAGGTAAGACACTAAAGCATCAGACACATATTCCTTGGCATTATCCAAACGACGAACAATGACATCAAATTGTGTCTTAATCATCTGGAGAAACTGAGTGATGACAGGGAGTACATCAGATTTTCTATGCAAAAGGTAAATCTAAGTACAACGGGTATGATCATCTATAAATGTCACATAGTATCGAGCATCTGACAGAGCAGTAACAAGAAAGGGTCCTCAAATATCAGAGTGTATTAGGTCAAATGGTTTGGATGACTGGTGCATGCGAGGAATATAACTAGTCTGAACATGTTTCGATAGGGAACATATAACACAGTCAAGTTTACCATCAACACAAGCATTGTTCAAAGCAGGAAATAACATACATAAATGTTTAAAATTTGTATGTCCAAAACGGTCATGCCACAACTGAACAGTTTGTGATGAAAAATCATAACGACGAGTATTAGACAAAATACTAGTATGCAAGCTAGAAACAGATAAAGACAAAGCAGGTGCAGGTGATGAAGGTGAAGAAACTGGTGAAACTGGAGGTGGATTGCCTAAATAATACAATCCATCTCTCTCATGTCCCCTGATAATAATTCTCTTGGTACTCAAGTCCTGCAAATAACACGAATCAGATAAAAACTCAACCGCACAATGAAAATCTCTGGCTAACTAATGTACAGATAATAAATTCATGGCCAATTTTGGCACATGAAACACCGAATGTAATGTAAAGTCATTTGGGAGGCAGACTGTACACCTACTAACAATAGGGGCATGTGTCTCATCTACTAGCTGAACCTGTGTATGTAATTGCTCGTCAAAAGTGGTGAAGTAATGGGCCTCACCTGTCATATGACCATTTGCACCCGAGTCTAATATCCAAAGGGGAGACGAATTGGCGCAAGCATGAAAGACACGAGGTATACCTATAGTGGTGACAATAGCAGTAGTCGGATCCTGAGAAGTCATGACGAATATAAGTACATCCAATCGAAAAATGATAGCATCCATATCACTCTACCAAGGAGGAGCAATAGCTGGTGGTAACTTAGCAATATCAAGAGTACGGCTGCGAGAAGGCGGCTTAAGCTCCGGATGAAGCTTCCAACAAGTAGCCCTGAAAAGTCCTGATCGGCCACAATAATCACACTGACGAGAAACTCCCTGTCTACGCTGATCTAAGATGTCCTGTCGGCGCTGGTCCAAACGACCAAGCAGTACATTCCAAGTGGAAGTACTAACAGTAGATGTCTCAACGGTAGAGGTGTCAACAATAAGGATCTCAAGTCCCTCACTAGTAGTCATATCAACAACAATAGGCACCCGTGACAGAAAAAACAACTCTAAGATAAATAGAGGGATAAAATAAGGGATAACAATATACCTCCAGTCGAACAATAGCGACAGATAAAGAAGGTCCAGAAAGCTCCCAAATAATCAAGTCACGATGCCCAAAATTCCAGTAAATAGAAATAAATGATCTACTGCATCAAAAGCAAATCAACGAAGAAGAAGATTCAACCCCTCTTAAAACAGCCGTAGATACTACAACCTGGTAGCATTATGAAAAAGACTGTAAACGACGAAGTTACAACAAAGAAAAAGGACCCGACAGTGAGCTGGTTTAGTATATGTTTAATGGACTGGGTCTGGTATGTGTTTTCTTTTAGACTGGTCGGTGCTTAGGTATAATGAAGGAGGCAATCGGTGCATAGGTATAATGAAAGAGGGATAAATATATGGTGTATAGGTATAATGAAAGAGGCAGTCGGTGCTGCTAGCTGTTTGGTTTGTATAGCTATCGGTGATTGAGTCAACTGACTGTTTGGTTTGTTAGTTGTCGGTGATTGAGTCAGTGATGTGCAGTTGGTCGTTTTGTTGATGGATTTTGCTATGTTTTTTTTTTCAGTGGGCAGTCAGTGGGCTGATGAGGGCAGTATGTAGGTGAGGAGTTGTCGATGATGGATGGCCTTGGTTTCGATTTTGGTGCTGGTTTGTTGTGGTTTTGTTTGGCAATGATGTTTGTTGGGTTCGATGGGTGGCCTTAGGATGATGTTTGTTGGGTTTGGGTATTCGGTGAGTATGTATGCTTGTTGGGTTTGTGGCTGTTGGTATGCTGGTCAGCCTCGTATATGTGGCTGTCGGTGAGGTTTGTCAGTGAGATTTGTCGGAAGCGGCAGTAGGTTAAAGGCAGTTTGTTTGCTGGTATGTGGGTTTGTGGACAGTGGGTTTTTCGCTTGTAGTTGTCGCTAAGCAGTGGGTTGCCGCTGTTGTTAATCTGGAGCAGTCACCGTGGCTAGTGGCAA